TTTCAAATTGTCGCCATTTATAGCTAGCAACAAGCTCCCTTAGCCTCACTACATTTGCATGCACCTTGTCTACTAGGAGTTTTGCCAACGGTATGTACAGTTCAGACAGATACAGTGCTAAATTGTCAGAATCGTGTAATTTGACCAATTACCAATTTAAAGTTTATTGCTGCTAGATCTTAGTGCAAAACGTCGGCATATGCCGCACATTTTTTCCAGGAGAAGTAAGCGTTTAGTGCTAAACGCATGCGCAAAAGGCAGTGATCCAAGAACAGTTAACATTGTTAACATCGACAGCTCATCATTATAGCATCTCTTGATGTTTTTCATTTCTTAGGTGGCATAATCAAACAGCTGGGTGCGCGAGAGTTAGAAAAAGACAAGAGACAAGTAACAGTTAAAAACTAACAGCTGTATTTCGTTATGGCGTATTTAGTTTATATTACAGACCGCCAATAATTTTAAAAATAGAAAAAATATTTTGCCCTAAAACTAATATACAGCTACATACCTTAAAAAATAATGACTCGATACCGCAGTCATGCTCAGCGTTACGAACATGAAAGGGCCAGTCGATGATTTTCATAGACGAAATAAACGCGACTAAAAGAGCAGCTCATATATCTGCACCAAGGTTAAACATCACAAAAACAAGGATAAATGTTCAGTGTTCAATGTCTTTTCTTCTCGCACGTTAAATAATTATTTTACTCAACTCCACGGATGGCCGCCACAAGGGTGTCTAAACCGCCTCCTTCGAAATCATTCGGCCGGTTAATCTTCTCGGGGTTTGCCACACCAAGACAGTAAGCTTCAGGCCACTCGGTTGGCACCACTGTTCCAAGACAAACGGGGAAAATCTTAGTGAACAAGGCGCCATTATTGTCGGTGAAATGTTGGCGCGATAAATCTTCTTGCCCGCCTAAGCAGAGGATTATAAGGACGCTATTGGGTGCAGCCAGCCATTTCTCTGTTCGATTCTTGACGCCTTCCTTTTCGTACTTGAATACATTCAAAAGGTTTTCGTTTTCTATTGACACACATCCAGGAGGTTTTACTTGATTCAGTGCATCACAAAAATGATCTACGATGTCTTGAGTTTCTGAGCTTTCTGTCGATGCTTTGTATAAGAGCAGCACCCTTTTTACATTATCCAAGGATTTTCCTCTCGATACAGCAGGTTTAGCTTGTGCTTTGACTGATGATTTTTTCTTGGTTTGTTTGTTTCCCATCTGAAAGAAACTTTAAAAAAGCCGCCCATTTGTTGATAAATTGTTTTCAGTTCAATGCCATCCGGACAAAACTTGTACTCAATTCAAGCATTCGAATAGTGAAATCTATCGATTTCTGACTTTGTAACCTTAGCGCCGTTCGACTAAAGTCACTTTAACTGAAGGTAAGAAGTGATTTATTAATGAAGTTTTTATTCTAACCTGCCATGTAGAATAACATTAAATTAGCATATCAAAGAATTGAATAACAATTTTAGTCAAAGATGTAGTCTCCTCACTTCTGCACTTTCTAACAGACAGCAGTAAACAGTTACAGTCAATTTTTTATTACTTCATCGACTTACCTTTCCGCTTTAGAACAATTTCATACAAAAAACTTTCTTATTACAAAAATACATATTGACCAGTCCTTTGTAGCATGCCTCGTATTAGTTATTCTACGATCTTTATTTATTCAGGAACTGATAAGCTCTTGTAACATCTGCTGTTTTTGTAGTCCATTTTAATAAAAATTTCCGCCCTAGGATAGAGAGCCTTGAGTTTATCTGTATTTCTAATAAAAATAAAGATAAAATTATTGAGTCAGCGTGGGCATCAATATAAGTTATCAACGGGACTTTACTTTAATGAACGAAACGCAAGAACTAAATTGAGCAGGATAAGAGCAGAAACTGAAACTAAGGATGATGAAACCGAAAAAGAAATATTTAGTATGGAAGATTATGATTTTGGTTAAATGATGGCACACATGCTAAGGAAAACGACAGCTTAAGATTGAATTTTTTTGACCGTCATTCAAAAAATCTATAGAGTTGCGCGTGCGCGAATTGCTAACTAAACTCTTTGCCTTCCGTGGACACAGCCGCATGACCACAGATGCCAGCAAACCTGGACAGACTATCACCCACGTGACATCTGTGGTCACGTGGCTGTGTCCACGGAAGGCAACGATAAAGAACGGAGTACCAGTTAGCACTGAATGTCGAAACTGTTCACGGCAAGAGTAAAGAGTACAGTTAGTAAAAAAGATACAGGTGAGGTATTTCAAAGAACAGGGACTGAATCGAAAACACCGAAAACGTTTTCGAAAGCGTCGCTTGTCAATGTTGCCGTTCATTCAGCTTTAACAGTCGCCACAAGTTCTTCTAAACGATCTTCGAAATCCTTTGGGCTTGTTACATCATCGGGATCTAGATCCAGGCGAACGCAACCGTTCCAGGAGTTTGGGTTACATTTTCCTAGTGAGAATAGCACTAGCTTTCCACTTTTTAAGTTGACATCGTCAAGGAATGACTTGATATCGTGTTTAGAAAGAGTACAAACGAGCACGACGCCATTTTGTTTTAGCCATTCTGATATCCACGGCTTGACGTCGGTGCTTTGCGATTCAGAGAGAGACAAAACACTGGAAGAATCGTTAGTATCAGCAGTCAGCTGCAGGACTTTTATGTCCCTTTCTTTAATTTCCAGACTTCCGGGGGGCTTAAACGCGTTTACTGCATCACAGAAATGATCGATCACATCGCCTGGTGTTGCCCGAGACGTATCGTAAAGAACCAGAAGTCTGATATGTTTTGTGTCTTCAAGACTTCTTCCTTTAGGAATTACCTTTGGATAAGTTGTTTGCCCCTTTCCTTTATTTTTCGCATGACCGTTACCCATGATCTGTTGATAAATGTTCAGAATAATATTAGGTCAAAGCAGGGTTCTATCTAGGATTTATCGTTTGGGAGAGAAGTCCCGAGTGGCCGAAGGCCACGAGCTTCCTAGGGGGGTCCGGGGGCATGCTCGCCCGGAAATTTTTTGAAATGAATATGCGCTGAGATGCAATCTGGTGCATTTTGAGACTCAATCTTGAGAAATGTTACAGTGGTATTTTATTTTATTTTTTAGTCGTGATCACGTTCTGACAATGTTACACTTAGCTCCGATATTTTTTGGGGGGAAGCTTCTACCCCTCAAATACCCTAGATAGAACCCTGCATAGAGACTTTGTTCTTGGGCCATCGTAGTTTGATCAAAAATAAAACACAAACGGTGGTGATAAACATTGTGAGCTTTCGCATTTTTATACTTTTATAAACTTGACGTTTCGTATGCTATTCAACATACATTTTCAAGTGATCTAAAGTGACCGTTGAAGATAATGACGACACTATATGTACAAAAATTTACAAGGGATCTGGAAATAAGTTTAAGAATTTAAAAATATTAGGTCAATACAGCCGACACTGACTTGGGCTAAGTTCCATTTGGACCCATAATGTAAAATTGTCTTTCAAAAGTTCAAGTTCAAGTAATTGTTTATACACATCGATATGATTTACTGACCTGCTGGTAGCTAATTAAATCAAGGCAGGTCAGCCACACAAGTTCTATTCTTACAGCTTTTTGGAAAAAACTTGACAAAGAGGGATTAGCGAAGTAAGAGTTTTGCAAAGGATAGAAACGTGTAAGGATGGTTCCAAATTAATCATGTTACTAAATAAAATAAAATAACTATGATATGTTAGTTACGTAAAAACGAATACACATATACATGTATATAAAAACGTGATTGGTTAGCTTACGTCTACTTTTGGTTAAAAATTTCTAAGACTGGCCATGATTTTGTCATTATCTATATAGTTGTCTTTCAAAACGTAAGGGGTTTACGAGAAACTCGCTCGCTGAGCGTAGAGGTACCAGGTCTCTGAGTTTACATCTTGTTGTTCTTTAATCTTTACAGCAGCTCATATGTAACTAACTCAACTTCGCTCCACTCCTGACTTGTTTCAAACCACCATGAACAGCAAAATAAGGAATTCTGCACCAAAATAGACTCAGATTCTCCAACAAAATAACGGATTCTCCACCAAAATTTAAATAACGAAACTTGTTGTGGACGTGTTTGGGTTGTTCTTTAATCTTTACAGACCATGAACTAACCTCAACTACTCTCAACTAATTCTACTAGCTAACACAGCGAATTAAATAACGAAATTGTGGACGTGTTTGGGTTAGCTGACCATGAGACCCTACCATTTCATATCCTGTCGCTGAACTTGTGAACGATAGAATAGTCTACACTGTCGCAATTAACAAGTACTAAAGAGCCAATTGAATGCTAGCGGTAAAACTACTCGCTAGGACCAAGCATACAAAACAGGAACTTCAGTGGAGGCAAAACTCAAGGTCAGCTATTATGCTTACTTCAAAGAACTACAATAAGTTTAACAAATCCTTTCGATAGACGATACTTCTCAAAACTCAGGAACTAACCGTGTGGCCTATACATTGAATTTCCTTGGACTATTTATTAAGAAACTAGCACGTGCTACAAAATAATCATTCGGATAGAAAAACCTTAAAAATACCAAAACTCCAAAACAGAACTAACAGCAACTACTTCATAACATTTCCAAGAATTCTTTACCTAATAATTCGTACATACAATTAAGATGATTAAAATTAAGTTTGTTTTTAAATCATTTCTGTTATTAAAATATTAAACTGCCAATTTCTATTAGATGATTATCATAATGTTAGTCACAGATGACTGCTTTGTCTAATCAAACAGAATTACTAACGGATTAACCAAGTCGTTTTTCCTATGAAACGACAAAGAATAAATCTGAAGCGTTCAAACAATTTTTTTCGCTAAATTTAACACCTAAGGACATGAGAGGTGAAACTTTCCCATATTCACGCATAAAAAGACAACTGAAAGTTGAAGGGCATCCTCTGATGATCACATGAACAAATGATGGTCAAGTCTTACGAAAGAACCAAGGTAACTCTAATTCGAGTGCCAAATGTCAAACTCTTATAAAATTAAACATAATCTGAAGAGAAAGACTATGAATAATCTATTTTATGATAAAATCTTAGCCCAAAGCTAAGATCACGAAATAACCTGGCCAAAGACTCGGCTCTTAAAAAATTACTTACAGGTAAAATAGAGAAACTGAGTACCTGCCTCACATGACTTAAAAGATAATAAATTAACTCAATATTAATCACACGAAACCCTCGAGGGTATACATTCTCCATCTAAATACAACAAACAGAACCGAAAATCAACAACTTTTCTATGAATAACATGTTCCTAGAAGGAGGGCAGTCTTCCATTCACTTAACGTTAGTCGAAACGACTTTTATGCGGTGTAAGCCAACAACAGATAACCAAGAGGAAAATGCTTAAATGCCTTTAGCTAAGGCATACTTTAATATGCGTCAAGTTATTTGAAGTCTAATATTGATCACAGAGTTTCATCACATTTTTCTTTGAATCGACTGTACCGAGCTAAAAACTCGGCTTTTTGATCTTAGTCCTTTGGAGCTTGTTGAGTGTAGTAATCAGAAAGGAAAGAAAAAGTGAGAAATCTTGATTTAAATAAACTGTATGTAAGCGATACGTAAATCAATCAAAAGCGAGTCATGTTACCATTTTGATCATGTATATAACAAACTTAAACAGTCCAAAATACCCTTACCTTAATACACCCCTTTATAACTGGCTTTTTTCAAAGTTTGACTTCCTCTTTGGTCTAAATCGCTTCTGATGAGGATTGAAACCTTAAGTGTTGGACAGCCCTCCCTTGTGCATCGACAATTAATAAACAACTGAACTATTTTAGAGCACCTTATGACGTCACTTTTAAAAGACTAAGCCCGCACTGTTGATGTTGTCAGCGGCGGTAATTGTCTAGAATGGAACCAATATAATTCGTAAGACTGGAATCAATAGAATCAAAGACCACCTAATTTAAAAATTACACTTTTAATTATCAGTTTATCTTTGTTTTCTTCAACGTTTTGTCTTACCAATTACGATCTTAAATCTGCAACAGAACAAATTTTGTTGTATTTTTAGTAACGTAGGAGTTTGGAGAAGACTATAACAGAGCTAACTTATTGGTGCCAAGTATTTTCCAAGTTTCTGCCTCTAAGTTTTACTGCCCCGGTCTAAGTTTTTCTTTTGTTTTGGGTCTCTCAGAAAAACAAAAGAAACCAACCCCACTAGACTTTTCTTGAGCGGGGTAGGGGACTTTTTTGCTCTTAATTTCACTTATAAATGCGTGCAAACTTGAAATGAAACATTTTACTGCAAATGCATGCATAGCAAATTGAAAAAAGAAAATTTCTCATCTTTTTCCCGCTATGTACTGAAGTTGAAAGTCTCGCCCAAAGTGCTTTGCATGCTGAAATACATTTTCGCCATTTTGAGCACTGTTGGCGCCATGCCATTTGATCAGCGATCTATGGAGGATTCCCTGGTTGTCAATCCCTGGACGTTTTTCAACCTCGTATGACTCTTCCACATCGCATCCAACCTTGCTGGAAATATTACGCTGCACTGATTGGCTTGTAGGTTGTTTGCAAAAGATCATCTATAAATGGCTTGAAAAATCTACCACGCGGCAGTATTCCAGGCCTTTAATGGGTTCTGTTCCGATTAAGAGCAAGGACAAGTACTCTTAAGTTCACTGAACTCTGAAAGTCGGAGGGTGGGACATGAGATAGACAAATTCTCTTGCACCCATGCAACACTGTTTTAATAGTATGCAAAATTATACAGCTCACATATTTTTCCTTTTAATATGACTCCCTAGAAACATGAATTTTTAAAAGCGGTTTGTGGTTTGCCTATGAAAACATTTTCGTTTCACCTGCGATCAAAATGAAACACGGTGGTTATTTCATCACTTATTTATGATAATAGCCTGGATTTACCGTCAATAATAAGTTTTTGTTTCAAAATGGCTGCTAGGATGTCCTCAGTCAAAACTGCTTTTCTGCTCTTCACCGAAGACCAAGAGGAGAACTGTGAGAAACTGCGGACGGTTTTAGAATACAACTCTGACGGTTGTATATGTATTGTTGACTTGGTTGATGTGCGTGGTGCATCACTGGAAGAGAAACTCCGTGATGGCTGCGATTGCATTTTGTTAGTTTGTTCTTCGCGAGCTGTACAACTGATCAACGACGAAGAATCTTCAATTTTTAAAACGAAAAGTGGGCATCGAGTTGAATTCGATGGAAAAATCATTAGCAAAGTCTTGAAATGCAGCGACGGCAGGATAAGGAAGAAAGTGATTCCGGTATCTTTTGTAGAGTTACCTTCGGCACTACATCACAATCCTGAAGAAAGGAAGAAATGTCGATACAACACGATTTCGTTTGAGATAAAACAAGGAGAGGTGAATGAAGAGATGCTGGAGGGTGATGTTTTGGCCAGTCTGATCGATGTCATAAAAAAAGCGAAGCCTTAAACCCTCTCATGTGACAAACTTTTGTAGCTCGACTCTTTAATTCTGGAGACAAGGAAAAGCAAAACCCACGAAATAGCCAAGGACTTGATATTTTTAGACTTAATGCTTTTAAAACGCACGTCATCATGAGATAAAATTTAAAACAGGATCCGTCCTTCAAGCAAGCAAGCACAAAGAACCGCAACTAATTAGTATAAGTCGTATAGCTCAACAAAAAGCAGTACAAAATATTTGTTTTTGGTAATATAGAGATGGTCCGGAATCCGCATGTGATCTATTTCGAGAAGATACTGAAAAGGGCATTGAAGTGTACACAACACTCAGTTGAAGTATGATCAACGATCAGTTCTGCAACACCAGAAGTCACCCAGTAGAGGATTCACAACGCGCATGATCAAACGTACATCCTTTAACCCTTTAAACCCTAAGATCAAAATTTGAATTCTCAATTGTTGCCCCTATTCGTTTTCTACAGAAGCAGTGGGGAGAAGTTGATAAAATATCAAGCAAATTCATCTTGTGTGATCATGTCTGCAATTCTCATGACCACTCTGTTTTACAAAGCATTGGTATTACAGGGAGAAATTTGATGCTGATCACTCTAAGGGCTTAAAGGGTTAAAACCTTTAAGCCCTCAACCTTTAACCTTTAAATATTTATATTGCGACCGAGGGACGCGAAACTGCTGATAGCCTACGTGAGGGTCCCCAATAGGGTTCTTCAATCCCGTAATCCCGACCTAAGATCTCGAGCAATCCCGCAATCCCGAGGTCTATTTTTGGCATCCCACCTCCCGCGCATACTTTTAATCCCGAATCCCTCCCTGATTTTGCTTTAAAATCCCGAATCCCGAGCTTCAAACTAGGGAAATCCTGTATCCCGGAAAACCTATTGGGGACCCTCCTACGTGGCTGGCGAGACTGTTATGCTCGGGGTGTTGTCTTGGCCTTCAGCGCTACATTTAATCATGTGATTAAAATCGCTTTAAATCGTTTTTAGTATGATATGACGTGATTTGGTGGGTGTTAGAATTCAACGGTTAGGGTTTAAAACAGAGTGAGCGGGTTTTTTCACACTACTGTCTGTTGTTGCGCCGTCCTGACGAGCCACAATAGGGAGCTTTAGCAACGACGACGGCGACGGCAACGAGGACGTCAAAAAAGGAATAGGTTTATTGCGCAAAACAACAACTTTGCACGTGCATCACGCTTTTTTGTACATTTCTTTACCGTCGTTGCACGACTACGACGTGAAAATGCCTAATTGCAAGTTTCATGGAGGACATAAACAAGCGACAACGAATCTCTTTTTCTCTCCCTAAACTTGAGTGCGGTCCCCAAGAAATCAACTCCAGGGAAATTCGCTTACACTTGCCATTTTAAGCAAATTGGAATAAACGCGACAAAAATTTAAAAAAACGGGAATTCGTTTTAAAAGTGACGTTTTCTCTGCCGTTGCGGTCGTCGATGCTAAAGCTCCCTAATAAGAGCGAAACAGCTGAAAGCTCAACGGTACTTAGTACTATATCAGCATCGCAGAATTGATTGGGATTGAGGACCAGAACTCGTCGGCGGTCCTTTGCAGTTAATGTCCATTTAGTACGTTTTCGCAGGAGCCCATAGGCTCCTGGTCACTTTAATTTCGCGAACCAATCAGGTTTGAGAAAGTTGTTGCAATCACCGCTTAATGGTGTAATCTAAGCAAGGTGGTGTCAATAATCTGAATACAATGTACAAAAAGAGTCATTTTTATCTTTTAGTACAGACACCGAACACGAAAAGAGCAGAGCCAAGTGTCTACATTCATCGGCAATTAACCCTTTAAGCCCCAAGAGTGACCATCATACATTTTCTCCTAACAATATCAATACTCAATCAGGAGAAAATGTTGTGAGAATTATTAAAATGATCACCTCAGGGAAAATGCTTTGATCTTTTATCAAATTCTCTCAACTTATTCTTTATGGAAATACATGGAGATCAGTTTGGAGAACTTGTATGTGGATATTGGGGCTTAAAGGGTTAAAGAGGTGTCTTAATTATGGAAGAAAGGATTGTAAGATCGAAGTTTGGCACCTTAGGGACCAGGGGAACTTTCCGTAAAGGGGGAGGGGTCGTAAGTTGGGGATCTATTGTATCAACTAGTATCGAAACAAGCGATCAACAGCCGACCAACTAACTGCAATGATCCATTGTTAAGTCTTCCCTCAACCCGCGCACACTCCTCTCGCCAACTCTTATCCTTCCGGATTCTTTTAGACTAATGTATTTTTATTTTTCGACTCCTTTTTCCGTAAAAAAATAAAACACAAACTGCAATACTGAACAAACGTGATGAAACAACGCATGTGGCAAAAAACGATTTTAAAGACCTGACGTTTCGTACGTAACAGCATACATCTTAGTAGCCTGTTCCAGGCTCCGAGAAAGTGGTGAAAAGTTGTTCAGTTAGAAAAGAAATGCGAAAAACGCGCTGGGGCTGGGGCCCCCGGCCCCCTTTCCCAAGTCGTGCGCGTCTTATTTTCGCTTTGCTCGTTTTAATACGTCCCCACCAGTACCATACTATCTTAGAGCCTGGCAAAAGTTAACATCTTAGCTGCTTTTTCTCTTTTCCTGCGTTCGTAGCGTGAGGGAAGACAAACTGATACCGCAAAATTCAGAAAATAAGGCCTTCCGTTTTACAAGCCCCTTAATTCGAAACACAAAAAGATGCATCATAATATCATGGACGGCGGATCCAGGGGAGGGGTCCCCCCTTATTTTTAGACCAAAATGAGGCCCGAAGGGCCGAAAAAAAGTTTCCTTGAGGCCGTCACCCGGCCCGCCCCGGCCCCCCAACCTTATCTCAGGGTAGGCTTTTGTACATTATGCTAGCAGTTTTTGGAGCATTTTAGTGAGGCCAAAGCGTTGAGCATTATTCGAGCATTTTAGTGGCATTTTCCCCGGAAAATTAATTTTTCCGTAAAAATAAAATAGAAATTAACTTTTTTCATTCAGGAGCCCATGCCCCATGAGCTCCTGCTTTTTTAAACAAAATGAAGACTAAAATTCAAAATTCACAAAAAACCTAATACAGCTGGTTTTTTTGGCTGTATTTATGAACTTGTACACGTTGTCGTTGTTACATGCAACACTTGCACGTTTTTGTAATTTTAAACTTGGAAATTAATTTTTAAAAAAACGTTTGTATAATGAGCATTATCCGAGCATTTTAGTGACTTTTTTGGGGAGACCGAGCATTTTAGTGGGAAAAATGGAGCATTAAGGTGGAGCATTGTAGTAGGGAAGCAAAAGCATAATGTACAAAAGCCTATCTCAGGGTCTGGATGACCGCCCCTAATCTCGTACCCAGATCTCACTCTGTTTTACACTGAAAAGTGAGCCGTGGGAGACCTGGGTACGAGATTAGACCGCCCCCTCTTTACCTGAAGATCTGGATCCGCCAATGAAATATGCGCAAAAATATTGGCCTTCCATCCTGAAAACTTTAAGTGAGACCAAACTTTAAAATTTCTAACCCTAAGCAAGACGACGAGCTCATATGGGTGTCCTCCATTTCGACTTAAGTGCTGTGCATGTGAGTGTTGAAATGATTGGCCGGCAAGTCGTTCGAAGGGATTATGTTGTCACGAATCTTTAGTAGCTTCTAGTAAATCGTATTAACAAACAAACAAACAAACAACAAACACTATCCCAAATTTGCCTCCAATTTTTAGCCACTAACATTTTAAAACCTTTTGTTCCGCTATAATTACTCTTCCGTATATAAACCTGTCGCAAAAACGTTTAGCCCTAAAAATAATGTTAGCCCCGTCGTAAAGAGATCCTCGCATGACCATCGCCTCTGTAGGAATCTCCTTCCTCCTTCTCACCTCATCAGGTTTCTTGGGATCATAGAATAGGAAAGAAAGTTTGCCGACTTTTTCTGTCTTTGAAAACCAAAGGCGGACATTAAAGTTCCTGGAGTTAATTTATTTCCGAGCGCACCTTATCTCTTTACAAAAAGAGCTTGTTATTGCATTGTTACAAACGCCGACTCTTGCAGAGTGGGTGATCCCGGTTGACGCCCTGAGAGCAGTAGCCGCCTTTCTAAGACTCACGCTTTTTGTTTACTGCCATTTAATAAAAACACTAGCCAATCGTTACTTGCAGCAAAAGACTTAATCAAAGTAATCAAAACAATGAAAATACTTTCAATAAAATACCTTGTGGTGTTTAGGGTTAGCAACGAATTCTTTGATAAGCCTAATTATGTCAATTATTTACTTTCAGGAAATCAGGGTCACAATTTGCCGCCACGTCACAGTTTCTTGTGAACCGCCAGGACCGCCAGTAAAAGAATGTGGTAAAACTATACCGATTTCAAAAGAAGACTGAACTTCTATTATCTCTGAATCTGCTGGGTGTTATTTAATAACCACTGTTCGTACTTCTGATTGGCTAAAACTGCAAGAGGGTTAAGACTTAGACTTCAATTAAAAAACGCGCGCTACCAAATTCATCAGACGGCGATCGATATTTGAGTTAGCGGGAAGAATCGGTCTACTTTCTCAGCTTAATATGGCCGTGATCTTGGAGACTTTAAGCCTAAGAAGTCTTATAGCGTTTGCGTTTCTCTTGCTCGGTATTTTAATCGTTTTTTTCGTCACTGGTGGGAAAATTGGTAAGTAGAAGTTATGTTACCCGTTAGCAATCCACACATATTTTCTCATCATTCTCCGCATCTTTTCCTCTGTAATTTGTATCCAGTAAGTTGACTCGTAATCATCATTTGAGCAGCAAGCCGAGAATCTTTTGTTCTTGAGCGATCTTAGGGACAGGTTTGATAAATGAATCTTATTTCGCAATAAACGACAGGACACTGTATCGATTTGAATTATGCGATTGCCCGAGTCTTAAAGCAAGTGCTAATTCATTAAACTTGACTAGGAATACACAAGCACTCAGCGAAGGTCAACTTACTATTTTAAGCGCTAAAAACATTAGAGACTTACAAACCGTGACAGCCTAATAATTTCTGTATTCATAACCGAGGGACTTGATTTCTGACAGGTCATTTGTCCCTTAATCGATTTATCTTGATGACTTATTGTGGTCACATTTTTTTTTATCTTCACATCTCGTCACAGATATTGCTTCTTGTTCTTGTTCTCATAAAGCTGCCAAACGTGCAAACTATAACTTCACTTTTAGTTAGTAGTTCAATATAGCTTTGCATAGCCTCATTATCCGGGTAAAAGTGAAACCAGGCATAATAAGAACCGAATAAATGTAATAACGCTGATTGCATGGAATGAATTGTTTTGATCTACGTTGTAATCTTTTTTGTTTTTTTCTTTTTGTTTGAATGTTAAATGACGGCGTCCCTTATGGAAATATTTCTGTTTCCTTTATACACTCGAACTTATTATACCATGTAAATACACTTGGGATGAAAACGATACTCACTTTAAGATTTTTCAGGCTATGCTCAGCCCTAAAAGTACCAAAAAGGGGTGTCTAACCTCCTGCCCCCAGCCCTCATCTGACCCTGACCCCATCCTTCCTCTAGGGTTTAGTAAGTTCCCAAGGGAAACATTGAAACTAGGATAATAATAATAATAATAATAATAATTAATAATAATAATAATAATAAGCTTTATTTATCCAACAATAACATAACAGATACAATGGATTTACATAAATTAAAGGGGAAAAACATTTGTATAGGTAATAGCATGATTTGCAGTGATATTTGGCATAAATACCATGAGTGATATTTCGAAATTGTTATACGTAAATCACAAGTATTTATGCCAAATATCACGCACAAATCATGCTATTATTTGTTTATACTACTACCCACAAAAGGTTTGTAATTTTCACATCTAGGTATTTCAAATTAAGCTGAAATACCACTGCTCTAAACCAATCAAATTGCAGAAATTTCTCATGTAGTGGTATAAACTATGAAATACTATCAAGTGAATTTCTAATTAAGGTAAGTAGAAATATACAGATCACAAAAAGGGGAGTCTTGCAGCTCTTGCTAAAAACGAGTTAGTATGTCTTTGCGTTCTTGACTTTGGTACTCCTACTGAACCTGGTTTAGATCTTAAGTTATAGCCGTGGCTGGTATTTGGCTTTGTGAGAAAAATTTGATTTGGGTGGTTAAAATCATGCTCAAAACATGAGTTGTGCAAAGGACAAGATGTAAAGAGCTTTATTAAGAAGCCAAAGAAAAAGAAACAAGGAAATGACAGTGAAATGCATGTTATTGTGTGAGTAACCTCTTGATTTGGGGATATCAACAGGTGTCATGTGGAGCAGCTCGTTTAAGGGACGTGAGTGTGAGGGGTGGGGAGGGGAGAAAAGAGGCCATGCCCGCATCTTGCTACATGTCTTCTTGCAGCTTGCCTTGATTGCCAGCCAAAAAGTACTGTTGGCCAGAACCTCTTTAGAACCTCTAATTTGACAGGTTCTTGTTGGCGCAAAGCTCTATTGTTTCAGAGTTGGGGTTCATTGTTAGTTTTGTTTGGGTTAGGGCTATCTATTGTTTTCTAAACTAATCCTGTGAGCCATTCTTAGAGCTTCCGGCCCACCCCAAAAAAAGAGATTGTTTGCAGGCTAGTACGCAAACAACAAAATAGTGCTACCCTGCCTTGTGATCACCCCCCACTCTCCCTCCGCCTCCTGTTTCTACAACTACTTTGCTATTAAAACTACACTTTAGCCCAAACTTAATACTCAGTCACTCTCTTTTCGGCACTGCTGTGAATTAAGTGTCAAATAAATCAGTGAGTCACAAGTCACCTATTCCTCGTTTTAACCCCAACTCTGACCTTAACCTCTAATCCTAACCTGACACAATTTGTCTCACTATAACTCTTTGACTCATAAGACATGTAAAACAAGCAATCTCAGCCTACCTCATGTTGTTCTCTGAAGGTTTCTTTTGAGAGTATGGCCAATCCACCACCAGAATCCTTTCATGATCTGTTTTCTACAGGCTAGTGATCTGTGCCCTCCATAATGTCTTGTTGTTTACAGTCCCTTTATCTTTAATCTGTTAATCACCTGTTGTTTCATCTTTAATATACTCACTTTGGAGGTTGGTTGGCCGCATCTTGGATATGCTTTAAGGTGACAGCGCAATGCTGTTAGTGAGTTCTTGTGTGCCAGTCATTACTTGGCTGTGTAGCCGCGTGATGCGGTTCCAGTCGAGACCCACAAATTGGCCCTTGCTCACCATAGAGTCTCCAGTAGCTCAAGTGGTTAGAGCATCCGACTAGACTACGGAGGGTCGTGGGTTCAAATCCCATCTGGGACTCGGATTTTTTTCCGAGTCCTCCTCAAAATTAATATCATGTTGTTAATCACCAATAGCATAGATTAATCATGGAAATGGGTGGTCAGCTAGCCAGGCGGTAGGTGATGACAGATAGCTCTTACAAATAACAATAACTGCGGACTTAAACACTGGTAAAGACAGAACAATAACAGGAACAGACAGAAGGCTGTTCAACATTGGTATACATCGGGCAAAAAAAGTACTTGGTAGGCATCAACAATAGCAGGTAGCGATAACGGCAACAGACGGAAGACTGTTCCGCATAGGTATACATCGGGCAAAAAAAGTACTTGGTAGGCATCAACAATAGCAGGTATCAACAATAGCAGGTAGCGATAACAGCAACAGACGGAAGACTGTTCCGCATAGGTATACATCAGGCAGGTAGTATGTTATACTATTGAACTCTGTGGTACGGGAGTTGTTAAGAAGTTAACTCCATCCATTTCTTAACAGCAACATTTTTGCCAGTAAATTAATTAAGATCTTTTGTTGTTCTTGTTTTTAGCTCCAGCTCCGACTACTGCATCATCACATTTGGCAAATATATGTGTAGGAAATCTGTCAAAGCTTGATTCTTTTTATGACCCAGCAACATGCAGCAGACTCGACAGCATTAAACAAGCCATGAGTGACCCAAGGCACATCAGAGCAGATCAGATTGTCTTTGCGATCCGTTTTCCACATCCTGGTCTCTATATGTCACGGTGGTTCCAGTTTCTTTCAACATCAATAAGACTGGAGATTGAATACAATAAATTTCATAAGTATGATAACAAAGGTGAGTGTTATACATAGAGTGCAAACAGTCAAAACTGCAAGTACCACCCTCGGTGGCACCCTAGCAGCAGTGAGCCTTTCTTTTGCTTGCTCGAAGGTCTTTGTTGATAAGATAAGGAATAAGCTCTTTGGAATTTAATCTAACTCTGATGACTATCTTAAAATCATGCATCAACCTAAATTTAACTAGCTCAGGAACACAACTAAACTTATATTCTCTGTGTAAATCATATTGTAATTAAATTAGCTTCATACACACTATAATAATATATATATTTTTATTTTGCGACAGCTGGTACTGTTTGTAAAATATTTCTTTTTTTTCCTTTCCTTTCTTTAAATTTGTGTGTCTCTTCCCCCTGCCTCGATTAGGCTCTCCTATACGCGGGTGGAAGCTATCATGAAATTGTAAATTGAGATTGAATAAAGTTGAAGTTGAAGTTGAAGTTCTTTGTTGAGCATCAGTTGGTACAGTTTTGAAACTCAGGCCTTGCAGCTGTGTGCTTAGTACACCGTTTTTTCAATACAGATAGAGATGCTCACACTTGGAAAACCAGTTTGAAGAGAGAAAACAAGAACCTAGACATTTTTTGGCATGATGTCTTGTGCCAAATACTGGGACAGGAAATAACTTTTGATAAAGTCTAGTATTATACAGTACTATGGACTCAAGTGATGATCAATTCCACTAAAAGCTTAATTCCACAGGTTTTTACTTTACTTCAAAAAGCATGAGACTACATTCACTGAGGTGATTTTGTTTCGATTCCTACAATGTAAAGCAAAATAAAATTTAATAGGCTAGCATAAAAGTTGACCATAATGTTACTGATACCAAGGTGATTGCAAAATTAGCTTACAAATGGCGTACCCTACTCCTGCATGGTGGGGGGAGGGAATGTAAAGGTACACGTAGGCTCTGGCAAAAATTATTTATGTATAAAAATGCATTATGCATCTTAACAATTTTCAATATTTTTATGTTAATAACTATGGCTAATTGGACATGCTGTTACCTTCCAGATGGTGTTCTTCCTACTCTGGAATTTTATACTCACCTGGGTTACAGGAGAAAAGGTGAAGATTCTTGGAAACTATATCACAAAGGACATGAAAATAGGTCACTTGACTGCAAGTTTTTTCAATCAACGGTAGGCAAGTTTATTGGTAAATCAGTCTTTCAGACAAGTGATAGGATAAAAAAACTGCAATAGTGAAAATGAAAGATGATGTCTGTTGTATGGTACAACTTATTTGTGGTTAGAATATTATACTTCTTGAGTCCTTTTCTATTGTTATTCTTTCAAGATCTTGAAGGTTGTATGAGAGATCGAACCCTATGAAGTCAGTTTTCTTTGCGTCATTTTTAAGGCATTGAAAGAAATTAAGAAGTAATTAAAGGTAGGAAAACAAAACCCCTTTAAAGAACTGTTCAGCACTTTATCAATGCAGTTGGTATTTAAATTTACAAGACTGTTAGGTAAAGTTGAGAAAAGGTTAGTTCAATTTCACAGCGTGCAAATGAAAAAGACAGAGAAAGCTTCTTTTGTTGTTTTACAGAGTGGAACTGATGATGGCTACTATAAATGTGAGGAGATGCCCTTCTTTGAAATCGGCAGTGTGCACTATGAAGAATACCTAGTAAATATAAGACTCCCAGCTGTTAAAACAAATGAGAAGATTGGACAAGTGGCTGATATACACTTTGTGGTAAGTTGCATTAATAAACTTCAGTCAATATATCAGGGCTGTCACTAAGATTTCAAGTTGCTGAGTATATCCAGTTAGTACACAGGGAATTTAACAGCTAATAAGTTCTTTTGCATTTAAGACAGAACCCATTAGCAAATTGAGTAATTTTAATTTTCAGTGGACAGAAACCTTGTACCAGAATATTTTAAGCGATATCGCATTCTTTTTCACTCTTTTCAAGGGCTATAGATATTTAACAATATTATTCCTCTAACCCGAATGGGCTCTGAGTCAATAGACCATTCGGCCTTCGGCCTCATGGGCTATTGACTCAGAGGCCATAAGGGCAAGAGGAATAATTGTTTTAGTAAAACTAGTTGGTCAAAAATATCAAGACAAAACAACTTTAGTTAGTTAAAGCTAGACTTTAATCCTTTTTTGCTGCCAAAAAGCCGCTCTTTTCACTACTAGTGGGCTATAACATATAGCCTAGTAGTAGCTGCACCAATCAGAACCCAGCATTGCTAATAGACCACTAGCTGGATTTTACTAAAATTAGTTATCTGTAATAACACCAGAGACAGTTTCTCACGGGAGCCCAAGAAAATAATTATCGTCAAATTTCACAAGAACTGTGAAAACATAGGTAAAATTCTGAAAATTTCATGTGTAAGATGTCATTTTGTAAAATGCAAGATATATTTTCTCGGGCTCCCATAAGAAACTTTCTTTGGTGTTATAACAGATAACTAATAATAGATGTAATTATTACATCTATTTTAGCCCTTGAAAAATGTAAAAAAGAATGCGATATTGTTTAAATTATTCTGGTACAAGGTTTTTGTCCACTGAAAATTAAAATTACTCTATTTCCTGATGGATTCCGTCTTAATTCCTTAGCTGGGGGGAAATCTCCAGTCCCCACGCCTTAGTGACAGCCCTGATATACAGTTGAATATGTTGTCATTCAACTTTATCCTTCGTTTCAAAATAATTTTAGTTTGCTTCAAACTTATTATTATACATTACCATATCCAAAGTGTAAGGATCAAAATAGAATTTTCAGGATCTTATAATTATTGCTGAAAGGGCTGTTAATGCTGTAAAGTTAAACTCTCAAACAGGATCAACTGAATCTTTCATGTTTTCTTCAGACCAGTGTGTGTCATAATTTAATCAATAAATGACGTAAAAGGCTCTCTTGTTAAGCCCTTCCACCCTTATTTGCCAAAACCGGCTAATAATACATTAAGAAGTTCATTTCCAGCCACTTAAGGGCTTAAGGTATCCTTTCAATTTCACTAATCTAATATCTTATTATGTTATTATTTAAAAGGAAATTCACCAAAATGGAGGTTTTACCAAGGTGTGGTTTACTATCAAGACCATTGTTGCACCTATTAGCATAATTATACTTCTCTGGTATGCCAAGAAAGTGAAAGGTCTCCACAGAGACCCTAACCTTCTGGAAAAGTAAGTTAACTTCAACTGAAAATGTATGTGGTGTTATATTTTGCTTTCAAAGTCAGTGTCTTAGTTAGGCTGCCTGGTTTAAGCTCAATAAGATGAATGCCAGTCTGTGGGTTAGAACCCCTGGTCTCACCAGCACTCAGAGTCTTAAAAAACCTTAGGCCCCGTCCTTCAACTCTTTTACTATTCAGACAGATTAGAGAAGGTAAGCGAAACCATGGTACTGTTTGTTACGAATAGGGGATTAAGACTCTGGTGGTGTGGTCAACCTTTATCATGTCATTTTGTGTATCTGTGTTTGTGAATGTGCTGTGGAAGGCCATCAGGTTTCAAGCTGCCATATATTATAATTATATAACCTGCTTTATCAAATATTGATGATGATGATGATTGCTATGATTACCATGGTCATTGAACAAAAACTTAACCCATTTAGTTGAAGATATATTTAGATGATGCTTTGCAATAATTATGTTACGTATTGTCTCCTCACTAAGGAGGTTTGTTCTCCCAAGTTTTAGACTCAAGTGAGTCAAAATAACCATTTAGTTATTTCGATGATTTCTAATTATTTGACAGGTCACTGTTTGCTTTGGGAATTGTGACAGCATTTATGGATTGTAAGTGTTTCAATTTTCTAACTACAGTCACTGTGGAACCTCTCTAAAGTGAAGAGCCAAGGGCTAGCAAATATGTTCACTATACTAAAGTTTTGTCATATCGAGGTTCTTGTCGACATGTTTTACTATTTCTAATTCATTGTACTGAAGACCTTGTTAAATAAGTGTTTTTTATAGTGATGTTCCACATGCGAATATTTTTACTAGAACTGTAGGAGTGAATTTTGTCATTTTTTCTTAAATTTCAAAATATTTTCAGTTCCCCTAGAGTGGTTGACTTTGTTGGCAGACATGCCGTACATGTTACTTTTGAGTGACATTCGCCAGGGATTATTCTATGGAATGCTGATGATGTTTTGGATAATTTTTACTGGAGAACACTTGGTGGTAAGTTTTTTGTGCAAAAACCTTCCTAATAGCATACATACTAGCAAATAATTACAAGCTACAGTTACAAAACATATTATATTTTCAACAAAGACACAACTTGTGTTGCTAAATTAAAATGTTAGTACCTTGGCGTTTTAGTGTAAGCCCAACAGAAAACTTATAAAAATTTAGCTTTCACTAGAAACAAGAAGAGTTAACTGCATTGATGTGAACTCTCATTGTTGACAAAATAACATACTGATAGTGATAAACAAACTAAAAGCCTTATTTAATTAAAAAGCTTGGCTTGGCAGTAATAGTGATAGACAGTCAGTAAAGTCGCATCCAATTTTCTTTTTTTTTTGGCATTTGTTTTTTGTAATTCTGTTAGTACTAATGCCAAGCACGTTTTTCTCAGGACCAACCAGAACGAAATAGGCTCAAGACTTACTGGCGCCAGGTTGGTGCTGTTGGATTTGGATCTCTCTCTTTACTGGTGTTTGATCTCTGTGAGAGGTATGGCTTTTGGGAAAGTAACTGACTTAAGTCATCTCAGGGAAATTTAAAAGCCGATATTTTGAGGGCAACAGCAATTCCGTTGAAGTATTTTTCTTCTTCAATAATGCATGGTTCAATTTTACTTGTAACTATGTCCCCCCCCCATAGCACACCCCCTGGGATTTGCAATTTTTTCTCTCTTGGAGGTCTATTCGCCACCCCGAGCTCCTGATTGACCTCATATACATTTTCTGCTACATCTTTTTGATCCATACAAAAGCAAAACGACACGTTTTCACAACTTTTATGAGCGTTTTTCCTGAGATTTTTAGAGAAGGATATGGATGTCATAATGAAAATGAAAACGAAGAAGAAACACTCTTTAAAAAGCGCCTCCTTGATAGAACACTTCATGAGAACACTAGACCAAATCTGTTTCTCTCTCTATATCAAAAGCCTCGTATTTGTTTTCATGTAAAAACTTATCGTTATTTAAAGCTAAGCTGAAGGAATATTTCTGTCCGTCCTTTCCAAAAAACAAAAATCCATTCGAGTATGCATCATATGCACATTCGTTTCAAATTTAAAAACATTTAAATACAGGCTTTTATTCCCCTCCAACCACTCTCTGACAAATTTCTGCATTTTTCGTTGAAAATAAGTAGTCTTGAGGTCCGCAGCCATCGTGTAAACCATGCGAGAAATAACACAAACTGCAGAATCAACGAGAAGATATTTTTTATTTGCCCTACCCCCCTACCCCCGGGACAGGACCACTTCAAATAATTCCCCACCCCCAGGCCCAAAGGGGTGTACTTATCCGGGGGGTTGCCTGGGAGTTGGTAACAAGTAAAATTGAACCATGCATAATCAAGGGAGATTTATTCTGATGAAGGGCTGGCCAATAGCTAATGTATCAGTCAGTTTCAGCTGTGCCCATGGGCCACACAAAGTTTGTTAATGCCCCACCCCTAGGACTGACAAGGTTGGCAAATGCCCTGTAATAGCCCAAGGAGGGGGATGCGTGCAGCTGGAATTGACTGATACTTAATTACCTTTGTCAACATGAGCTTATAACTTTAGTTATCTATATAAAAGCTTTTTACTTAAATAAGGTGAAATAAGCTGAAAAATAAGCTTATATTACATGGCTAGGCTGATAGCCTACAAGTAAGATAAACTTTTAGTCAAACCTTAACTAATGCAGTGACTACTTAACTAGCTAAAACCCTCTGAGCATCGGCTGCATTTTCGAACGCTATATCACTCCGTGTTAAGCTAATGGCTTAGAAAGAGGGAATAAATATTCAGGGAATTCTAATAAGGCATACATTTGCTTTAAGTTAGTTTTTCATCACCTAAACCTATTAATACCTGTCTAAAAGACAAGGTTATATGCTAACAGAACCAATAAGCAAGCCTACCTTTTCTGCAGCAGTAAGCTTAAAAGGCTTGATCGTTGACCTGTTTTTTTCACTCGGTACTAATAGTTCCATGACGAGTCAAAGCTGGGAATGCCACAGCCGTCTTCGCTGGTTACATCTTAATCTTTTTTTTTACGGTGGTGTGTGATATTTTACCTCGTTTTCTTCAATAATATATGAAAACGCTTTCTCGAAGCGAGAAGACAGGACGCCATGCTTGTCTTCGCTTGCTATGTCATTTTCCCGCCCTTTCTCTGGCACCTGACCCCAGTGTTTTCCCGCCAGTTTTGTCTGTGCGGTGTGTTCCCGCCATTTTTTGCCCTACCCCCTCCCAGTGCCCATAGATACACTCAAGGGGTCAGTTCCGTTAGCCAAGCGCAAAAGTGAGCTCCTGTTAAATACTGTAATCACGAAAAGAACTTAGTGTTTGCGTAAGAAATGTGGAATGTTTTCTTGTTTCAGAGGCTATCAACTTCACAATCCTTTCCACACAATCTGGGCCACCAAAGTAGGAAACAATCTGGCGGTATCCTTTTGTATAAGTGTATATAGTTCATCGGTGCTTGCCGTTTTGTAAGACCGACTGTTTGAAATTCTTAGGGACCAACCCCCGAAAATGGCGAATTTTTTTCCGAGTGTGTTGCCGAAGAAAAATGCGCAGGTACGTCCCGAGTGTGTCTGCTCACGAGTGCTTCCTCTGTATATGCTTTCATGGGGGTTTGGGAAGAGAGGCAAAGAAGGTGCTTTTTCTTAACTTTCTCAGTACGCCTTTATTATCGTAGCGGCAGTCTGTGCATCTCTCTACTTCTTGTTTCTCTGTGTCATGGTGTTCAGAGTGTTTTGGAACATCCGGGGTAGAAGAGCTGCAATACCTACCATGTCACGCGCAAGACAACTGCAATATCAGGTAAGAATCACTGCTATACTTTGCTGTAGTCGTGCTTCACGTTTTCCGTAGGAAAGTTGAGCAGTCCAGGTATACTCGAGAGCTTTTCACAGTTACAATATTCTTTTGTTGTTGTGGGACAAGTTGCACGAGACGTTGTCATCGTCCAAAGTATAACGCCCTGAAATGATTAATATATTATTCCTGTCAACGTAGATGCTCAGTGGAGTATTCGACCAAAGAAGTAGACCTTGATTTTACTTCTTGGAACACTTGCTTGGCGACGAAAGTGTTATCAGAAGTGTTTTCATGAAGGGGGAGGGGTGGGGTTCCACACGTGGCCACTTTTTCCCGCAATCCAAAACAGAATGCAAGACAAGGTGCGAGTTATTGTGCCTTCAGGGCCGTACCTAGGATTTTTTGTCTGCGGGGGCAAACTCGGTTTTCGTGAGATTTCGGACCAATATAGCTACAAGAAACAGCCCAGCAAAATCAGACACTATGTTAGAAAAAAAACATTTAGTTTTCCTGGCGGGGGCAACTGCCCCCTTCGCCCCCCCGCTATGTACGGCCCTGGCCTTAAATGAAATGAATATTCCAGAGCTCTTCCAATTCTCACGTAGCAGAGTCTTAAAATCGTTGTTCATCATCCATCCTATTGTTTATTTTTTCCAGGGTTTGATCTACCGGTTTGAATTTCTGATGGTAGTGACAGTGTTGTGTGCTGGTCTGACAGTCGTGTTCTTTATCATCACAAATGTTAACGAAGCTCAGTGGAAATTCGGAGAGGAGGAATCTACAGTAGAGATATCAAGTGAGAAACACGTGTTTATGACCGGGGGGGACTCCCCATATGAAAGGGGTGGGATACTCGTCGTCTCGCTTAGGGGTATAATTCTGGGCAGAACGCCATCATATTTAGCCGTGAAGGCCTCGTTTAGGGTGGCACGCGAAAAAATATAAAAATATTTTTATTGTCTGTGTTTCAACATGGTCTCTTTTAGGATTCGAAAAAAGCTTGGGTCTCGCCCAGATCGGTCTCCTTTAGGGGTTTGATACAAAATTTCCGACGAGCATCCCCACCCCTTTCATCCCCTTTCATATGCGGAACCCCCCCCCCCACCCCCGCCGGGGGGTTATGAACCTTTTCTTTCTAGACGTAAAATGTGGCTTTAACTTTGCGCATGTGTGGACGAAATTCTAAAATGTGACCATTAAAATTAAATTTCTTAGGCAGTATCTTCACACTGGGTGCTATTTCTTTTCAATATATTTGCAGAAAAAAAATGGTATTTTTTCCTCAACTTTGAGGCATTCTTAGACAAAGGAATAAATAAATAAACGTGTACATTAATAAATTGTTAAGTAAATAAATGAATAGATAGATGGATAAAAGAAAAGAGTAGTCAACTTCCTTAAAGTGGACACCTGTTCAACGCAGAACGGCACGGCTCAAAGGTTACCGTTTTTCCAATCGAGTGCAGTTTGGAAGGTATTCGTGTCATCTTTAGCAAAATTAACGTTATTAGTCAAAACTTAACAACATCTGTAGACTACTCCGTTATATTTCATCTCCACTTAGAATTTTTGTTCAACTTTTCTCCGAATTAATGACCTTTTTTCAGACCATGTTTTAAATATGAGTTTGGTAGCTGATAGCCTGCGAACAGCAGACGCATTTCCGGTTCGGAGGGAGAGAAGCGACGACCGGAAATGTGTCTGCTGTTCGCAGGCTAGGTGGCTGAATTCAGCACCTCGATTATCATCACTCCTGTTGAGTCCTAACATAGAGTATTACTTTCCATGGTTTCTTAAGGTGCACTATTCACCGGGATCTATGGCTTGTGGAATGTATATGTTTTCGCAGTGGTTATCCTGTATGCACCTTCTTCTGCTCCCCTAGCCTCAGGTAACTCATTTCTAAATAATACTTTACTGTTACAGACCGCAGCCGAAATGCTGCTTCCTCTGGGGGTGGATTTCCACTGTGGTGTAATTGTCACGTGCGAACATGAAATAGAGGCAATGTATGAAAGGCCGCGTGTAAACGTAAAAATTAAGAGAGGTTCAACTTTTATGTTTACGTTTACACTTCATAAATTGCCTATATTTTATTATTGCGCGTAAGCACGTGATTTTCACCTGCGCAGGCACGTAATAACGTAGAGGCAATGTATGTCTATTTTACTGTTTTACGCGCGTAACGTTTTCTTGCTTTACGCGACTTTGGAATTCCACCTCAAAGACAAGATCAAGCCGGAATTTTTTCAGGCTTCTTTCTCGCAACTGCAAAAGTTACGTCTATAACTGCGATGATCTTCTTTCATGTAATTGGTTTATCTTTGTTAAAGTCTGGAGGGTGTTTATACAGCAGACACATTTCCTTGGCTGGCCAGACATACGCATGTTTCGTATTCAGAGATGTTTTACATGGTTAACCATAGACGAAACCTACGGATGGGTGCACCTGTGTGAAGAGAAAAAAGTGGAGAAAGGTTCCTTGTCTAAGGGCGAGGGCGAGGGCGAGGGCGAGGCTTGAACCCCGGACCTCCAGATCCGGAATTCGAAGTGTCATCTGCTTGGCCACACATTCCTCCAAGGCTAGCCACGAGGATACTCATTGTTCCATCGTAAAAAGCTTTCTTACAAAAATCCTTTTGGGTGGATCGCGCTCAAAATTTTCAAAGACGCTGGGAATGACGCAATCTTGCCGTGGTTATTTTTATATTTACTTTTTTTACAGTGGTGACTTTTAAGAATTTTGAGTTTTAATATTTTTTTGCAGATGTGGCAGAGGAACACGAAAGATTAGAGTTGCGCAGCCGCACTGAGGTTCGCATGACAGAGGGAGAAACAGAGGAGTCCGTCATTTACAAGTTCACGGGGAAAGCCGCGCAGAGCTAACTTAAAACTACTTAAGATTTAAAGGAGTAAACCCGCAAAGTTTATGTTTACCCGGCCAAACTAAAAGATAATGTATATTGAGAAAAGTTAAAGAGAACATCCTTACCCTCATGGAAGTTTGGATTTGTATATACCTTATATTGTGGCCAACTATCGCTTTCACTTCCTGTGAGAATATCAATTGTTTGAAAAGCGCCTCGTCGCTTTAATTCATCAGCTTAATGAGTTGGGCTTGTGAGGTAAAATCTTATGTATAAGTAATATTTCAGCATGTTGAAAAGTATTTTCTTTTAACAAGACTACTGGCGGATACAGCCAGCCGTTCTATAAGTTAGTGTATTCTTTTTTATTTCCGTTTTGCTCTCTTTCGTGTAGTACAGCTACCACTGCTAGTAAATTGTAAGTTACCTAAGCTAATTAAGTTATTGGACGTTTTTCTCTTATTAACTATGGTAATAGGAACAGTAGGTGCTTACCATTTGTCCCAAAGAACAACAGGTTGGGATCACCGCTGAATAATAGTCAGTAAGAGTTTTTCCAACCGGAACAAGGATGACACTTGGCATTTCTTTAATTCGTTTTCCGTTTTTTTTTTTTCAAGAAGGCGGAAATAACTTTTATATTTGTTTGTAAAGCGTAGGGCAGCCGACATGTTTCGATCGGGAAGAAAGGGGTACATCTAAAAGTACTCCGAAATACCTGAATCTGGGAAATTGCTGTACGACCTGAATTTTCCAAGAGAATTCAGGAATTGGTCGTTAAATGCTAAGCACCCATTTTGTGGAAAAGGGAACCGGCTCCTTGTCAATGGGAGTGGGGAATGGGTAGGCCTTGAAAGCCACTGTGGACCATACAGGATTTTGATTGGAATAAAGAGCTATGCAAACATATTTATTCTGAAGTATACTTGTTTTACGGTGACGTGAAGTAGACCTCTGATCTTAAAATGTGTATGACCCGAAATGTTTTTGCTGTTTTCAATTCTTCAATATGTATAAAATATATACACCTTATTCGATGGTTTAGCATATAATACGTGCGGATATTTTGCAAGTTGCGTTGTACTTTTCCGAGCCCTGCAGGGGCGAGGAAAAATACGAGCAATGAGAAAAGTGTCCGCTCGTATTATATGCTAAACCATCGAATAAGAGGTTTCAGTATTATTCCACTACAAAAAAAAATTATCTGGCAATTTTTTGGTAAGAGTATTCAGAGACATCCTGATTCTGTCTGTCAGAATGACGTTAACAATTAGCAAAATGTTCGAGCGTATTATATGCCAAACCATTGAATGAGAGGTGAATTATTTTACTGCAGAGGAAAAATGGTATTTTGGCTTCCATTTTCTAATGAGAGTATCCAAAACATCCTGATTCTGTCAGCCATAGTTGCTCCTTTAGAATCCGCCGATATTCGCCTTGTTGTAAACCGGTTTAACCAGGACATTACAGTGAATTACGTCCTCGTATTTTGCTTGTTTTCTTGACCTTATATGGTAAAATGATATGATAGTGGAATAATAATGGCCTGTATCGTACTTTCCTTAGAGGCAGTTAAATCAGTTAATTCTGAATCAGTAGACATTTTTGGGCCAAAGAACCAAGAAGAAAAACCAAAAGAAATGACTAGAATCAAAGTGTCGGCAAAAGGCTGGCGTCATGTGACGTCATCAGCCTGGCTCAGATCCTTGAATTCATTCCCAGTCTCAAAAGGTTGAGTTTGATCGTCCGGGTGAACGTAGTCCTGAAAGAGGACACATTTTTGAACTTCCGAAGTGATTGAATACATATATTGAAGGGACAAAATAGTGAAAAAATTTCGTGTCATATACACTTTATACTTTGTAAGGTGATGATCTTTTCTCTTCCCCTCGCCTCGCGATTCGGGCTCGTCTCGCGCGAAATGCCGTGCCCGCCACGCTTGGCTTATAAAGCGACAGTTATGCAGGTAAGAGCCTTTGAGGTAGCCTGGGACCAGGCTCCGCATTGTGGGAAAAAGAAGAAAAATCAGGTTAGCGAAAAAAAAAAATTGGCGAGAGAAGCGAGCCGAGAGTTACCGTTCAGCTCGCTTCGCTCGCTGAGCCTGGTCCCAGGTTACCTTTCAGGATAATAATGAATTGGAGCCACACCCACAAATTATTAAAGAGAGATGCTGGAACCTTTCAGGTGTGTATTTTTTTATTTTCCAAACAATAATCCCCACCATTGCTTGTTTTTCTACTGAATTCGTCAATTTCTTATTGCATGGATGGAGCAAGACGGAAATGTGCAGTGCAGAAAACAAGGGCGATCAAGAATTTCAAAAAAGAGCATTTCACAGAATTTGATTGATCACCAGGTTTACCGTAATTAAGATGCAGAGACCAGACTAATTAAAATTTTAAATTTAAAACAGTTAATACAAAAGAGAGCCTTCTAGATGACGCTATCATCACCACCTGCACCGCAAAAAATTCATCATGGCTGCTGTTGTTGCTCTCATAGCTTTTTACGTAGTTGGCTTCGCTACCAATGTATATGCATGGCTTCGTCTTCGCGGTGCTGAGAAATCATCGAGACTTGACCAACGCCAACTTGTATCATTGCAGTTTACTCTAAACATTTGGAATATCATCACTCATGCCGGCGCCGAGCTCTCCAACCAGCAGGTTTGGTTTCTCTTGTCGTCAATCTCCTCTTTCCTTTCGATTTATTGCCTCGCAGCATTGGTGTTGTCCATAGCCATGGGAAATTACTACAGCCAAACTTTAAACTCCAAACGGTTTATTACGGCTTTCTTGGTAGTTTGCACCGCGTTGTTTCATTTCTTTGGACGCCGAGATGCGTTTTGCAAGAATGAAAACTGTTTCGGTCTATCGCTCGCTAATGCCGAAAGCGCAGAAGAAGCCGAAACTACTCTTGTTGGTACTGTGGTAGTGTTTACTTTCATACCAATATGCGTTTGCATCACGGCCTCTATATACATCGCCTTAGTAAAGTATAACAGACTTAAAGCTTCAAAACCAGAGTTAAAATTTCTTCAAGTTTGTTTTCGAGTTAATCAAGCATGCCCCGTTTTGAACTTCCTTTTATATGGGTTTTTGGTCATAGAAGTCTTGCAACGATACTACGGCATCAAAGCCGTCGATGTCTCACCGCTTCATCTCTCCTGTCGACTTATCTGCCTAGATGATCACTTGTACTTGCTGTTGTCGATGTTTCCTGTCTACATGGCTCACTTTATCAAGAAAAACAAAATAAACCTACCCAAACAATGACAAGAAAATTAGCTCGATCCAATTCTAGCAGAATCCGATCAGCCTTTGTAAATGTCAATTGTTTGAATTGAAAATTTAATCGTTAAAATTAATATTGCTTTTTTCTTTCAATTTTGTGTGTGATGTTGTTCTCGAAGGTTAGAACAGCAATTGAAAATGAAGGAAAATATTTTGCATTGCCAGTTTTGTCATCCTCTGTAACTGCATGGCTACTCGTGCCCAACGAGACCCGATAGACAGCCTGAATCTAACTGATGTAAAACTAATGTATTTTTCTGCTCACAATATAAACCAATATCTTGTATTTTCAATATTAGATAACTAGAAAAAAAGTCTGACTCTTCAGTATTTAGGTCCTTTTTTATCTCTTAGAATTTTAAAAGAACCTTTGTAATAAAAGCAAAGATGGGTGTTGTAGTAACACATGTAAGCGGTCAATGACTAGCCGATATTAACTCACGTAAAATTATCGAGCGGTATGTAGTTTACGTTTGCTCTGAGTTAAGATTTTTCTCAGTGGCAGAAATCCCTGTAAAACACTATAGTTTAAATAATAAAGCAGTTTCGTCCTCAACTGGTGTAGATTCCATTTGATATGTCGTGGTGGTTGCTATCCCCATTTAACACTTACTTCGGCTTGTCCTTTCGTCTCTACGACCTCGCGAATTCGTATGACATACCTACGCAGAAGTATATAGTCGATCCGCGCTTTAAGGACACCTGCTTAATATGGACAGCTCATTATTATGGACAGTTTATTTTGCCCTAACATTTTCTTTACATTAATTTTTAATAATTTAATTTAATTTATTCCATTTTCACTGCAAAAGAGAAAACTTAGCAAAATTACATAAGAGAACAATTAACTACATACTAGAAAAAAAAATTATTGCAGTGGGGAAGGACTAGAAGGGAACATGCGAACCATTCGAGTTAGTCCACCCCAAAACAGACACTTAAATAAAGAAAAGGAAAAAAGAAAACAGTAAAATTATATCTTAAATGTAAAAACTATAATTGATAATATGTCATATCCTAGATTACTAGTAATCAGAAAATAATTGTTAAATCGATCACTACATCCAAGTGGCATGCGCGTGGTCAGGGTCGAAGCTGCTGAAGGCGTTCATTGTAAGTTGAATTAGGTAGGAGACTAAAGGAGAAGCCGCGTGGCACGTCGTTGGACACCAGTCAATAAGACTTTGGACTCCAGATTTCAGAGGCATACTCTAAATGCGAACGCACAAGGACCACGTAGAGAGATCTAAATGTTGGCAGAAACTGATCGCTCTTGCTGCTGTGTGAACGACGGATAAAACCTAACATCTTATTAGCTTTGTTCACCTGGACGTAGATTTGCTCATTGAATCGAGCATCACAAGTGATGAGAACGCCATGGCCCCCTGAGTGTTATGATTGTATGATAAAAGCTAGTTGTCAACGAGATAAGACCGCAATATCATAAATCACTTTGTGGCTGTTAAGCCCCGAGCAAACGGAAGCAACATTGTTGGATGTTACCTGTTGCGTTTGCACACCCTGTTTCATGTTGTTGCGCAAAGTTTGAGACCAGTCAAACTTTTGAACCAACAACTCGCAACATTTTTGGTTCCATGACCGCCGAAGCGTCGTGCAACAATGTTTGATCCGTTTTGCACAGCTCTTCCAACATTAAATTGAATTTAAGGGCCTATTTACATGGAGGTGAGGGACCCCAGGTAGGTGAGGTAATCTGCTAAGGTGGGGTAACCCGCTTGTCCATATGATCTCTCATTTTAATTTGATCACGTTTACACGATAGATGGGCTGACCCGCCAAGGCGGGTAGCCTGGGGCCCGTTTCTCGAAAGTCCCGGTAACTTTACGGGCCCGAAATCAAATATTCAAATCGAAATGTAAAGAATAAGAGCGCGGGTCCTGGCTAGCAAACTACTCCATTTTGTTTCATTAACTGAAAGTTTTATCGTGTTAGATGCAAAACTATTGAAAAATCGATCTATAATGTAAACGGAAACAGCTTACCGGGCCCGTTAATTATCGGGACTTTCGAGAAACGGGCCCCTGGTCCGCTAGAGCGGGTAACCCTACCCAAGGTGCCAGAGACTTTTCTAGCGCGGTTTCCGGTTTCTGTCAAGTCTTTATAGTGACCCGCGCGAAAAAGTTTCGGCTTCGGACTACGGCCGAAGATGTGTCGGCCTTCGGCCAACACTGAAAATTCCCACCGCACGCGAGAAAACCTCTGGTAGCCAGGGTAGGGTCACCCTCTCAGCCAGAGTCAAATTTTGCCATGTAAACGTTTAAAGGTGAGTGTAACCCGCCTAGCCGGGTTCGGATTCCTCTATTTCGAGTTCCCCTTTCCCGCATCCCGTAAGAAATTGGTATAGTCTCAAGCAGTGTGCCTAAAAAGGTCTTACACTCCCGCAGTCTGCCTCGATTTTCCTTTCCCGCTTCCCGTAAGAAATATGTTATAGCCTCGAGAAGTATGCCCAAAGGTTCTTACCGTCCTGCACTTTACTTCGAGTCTCCCATCCCGCACCCCGTAAAAACTATGCTGTAGGGTCAAGAAGTGTAGCCTGCGAGAGCATCCGGTTTTTTCGGCTCAAGAAAGTAGAAACTTGAACCGAAAAAACCGGATGCTCTCGCAGGCTACAAGAAGTGTGCCTTAGCTAAAAAGTTCTTGCCGTCCCGCGCTCTGCTTCAAGTAATAATACAAATAAATAAATAAAGATTTAGAGCTAGTACATCCACTAAGTGGTTCAGGCTTCGTCTACCTTATTCCTAGTCTCCCTCGCAGCCGTTTTTAGTATCGTCACGCAACGCTCCTCTTTGTGGGGAGGAGCGTTGCGTGACGATACTAAAAACGGCTGCGAGGGAGACTACGTTATTCCTGGTCGAACTGGAATTTGGAAATGTTGGTTTTTGAGGAGGGGGAAAAACCGGACTACCTGAAGAAAAAGCTGTCGGAGCAAGGAGAGAACCAACAACGAACTCAACACCAACAAACGGAGGGGGAAACTGTTAGTTTCCGGTGATTATTTCTTTTTTACCACACTCAACAGCGAGTCACCAATAGATCTTTTTGTCCACTTTTAGCGTGCGTGCGTAGTCTTTCCCAGACAAACCAAAGTTATCCTTGTTGTACAGGTTTTAAATATCGAAGTAAAAAGTTATAATTACCTCTCTTCTCTTTGCTTCCTTTTGTTCTGTCGGGTAAATCGCGTCTCCTAGCTCTTTGAATTTAATTGCTAATCAGTCTATGGCACTCAAGTGCAAAATCTTTGAACAATACAAAGTTGCGATACGTGCACGTCGTGAAATCCCTTGGGTATGCAAAAATCCGATCCACGTGAGTGCGAATTTTAATCTTGCCCGTTGTTTTAAAAACCAGCGCGCTGTTCGAACAACTGATCAAGTTGACTAGAGCTTCTACCGGTGAAACAGACAAGAAATGCATCAGCACGAGGTTAAGGATGAACTCAAGGAAAGCAATTCTGGGGATCTGAAAGCGACCGCATCGAACCGCAATCCGAAATGCACGCGCTGTAGAAATCACGGCATTTTGTCCGATCTTCGAGGTCATAAACATCAATGCCGTTTCAAAGACTGTACATGTATGGACTGTAGAACTGTGGCTGAACGACAGCGTCTTACGGCTGCAAGGATTGCTTTATTCAGGCAACAAAAAGGCAATGAAGCGGACATGATTGTAAACACGCCAGAGCTAGATCAGATGGAGTCCAGTCTTTTGAACGGATGGGTGGAAGGAGAGGAACACCGAGAAGGTCAGTATTTCAAACATCATACCTAATAAAATGTTCGACTTATACCACAATTCTTTTACCTAACTGATTGCATCCGCCAACTGAATTTTACTTTGCAAAAAACTGAAACAAGAAATTCGTCTGAGACTCGGACGTTTCGAGATAACTGATAGTGAAATATGATAGAAGCTTCAATACCTTTTCTATTTAATAAATATTTATGACAAATTAAAATTTGAAATTGCAAAGGCATATCTAGGGTTTTTTTTGGCAAGAAAGCGTTATTGAAATTTGTTTCACAAGCGATAATGCTGCAAGCTTAAAGTCACAGAGGCAACTATAAGCTTGTGTCTCTTGCGCTAATGCCCACAAACCTCGTACTCCTTTGCCCAGTTCAGGAAAGATTTCTAATAATTGTGCGTTTACAAGCGACGCTCGCCAAAACCAACTTTCATCGGTAAAACACCAGTTATTTGTCTAATCGATTAATTTCATCAAAGTTTTATTCACAGCCTGACTGTCAATCAGTTGAATGAAAAATATTTCAGATCCAGGAAGATTAAATCAAATGACTTCAGAGGGCACCCCTTTTGGACATTTCCCGTTACAAATCACCGAATTGTCTTTTCACAGGACATATTTTCTCTCCTAGTCTGGTAATCGGGACCTTTGGAAAAGACCTTCCCATTATTGTGAAACAAATTCTGCTCCTCATATTTCACTTACTTTTATAACGCACGGTTTCTTATTTAACAATTTTCTCCGTCTTTTCGGCCGAGTTTAACAACTGTTGCGAAAGAACTTTGATGGTGCCAGAAGCAAGTTAATATGTCAAAACAAGACAAAATCGATCTGACGGAATTCTTGATACAGTGAGTAAACATCCCTTTTCACTATTTCTGCGCAAGCTGTAACATTTCCGGCCGTTTCTCTCGGAAGCTCAGTAAGACGTTGTAAATAAACCAATAGAAATCCCACAGTCAATTTAAGGGACAGGTATTATCATCTCTCTTTGGGACAATATTTACCGTTAAATTGCTACAATAGGAATATCATCAAATATGAAATGAAGTTTTTGATCAGATTGTACGCTGTAGAGGTGTCTTTTTAGAAGACGGAAATATGTTCGCGTTCTCCGGAACAGCCTTTGTTTTTTGTACCGAAGATCATCTCTTTCAATTAAATAAGTTTGCCGATGCACATAGAAGAAGCCATATTTGCGTACAGTAATGAAACCACCCATGTCTGAAACGCAAATCGTTTCCTTCCAAAAAGGACTTTAAAAAGTATGTTATATTTCTTTTTCTTTCTCCCGGTTGAAGCAAACTTTTTCAAGATTTCAAGTTGATCAGGTTACTATTATTCCGTTGTGTAAACTCCAACATGGATTAAATAATTACTTTCAGTTTGCCGCATCTCGCGCTTTACAGTTAAACAATGCACATCTGCTTACGTCGGCACTTTTTAAATTTTAATTTCAGATTCTCTTTTCCTTCTCTCATCTTTCCCGGTAAGGCGGCTTTTGAAAAAACAAACCATTTTGTGTTAGAAGATTAGAAAGCCTTTATCAGATTTCTGATCAACACATGAAAGCTTGTGAAAAAAAGGTTCAGTTTAAATTTTCTTCCTTCTGTAAGTGTCAAGACTTTTTGTCTTTTCACAGCTGTTTGTTGTAAATTTGTGTTTTCAATACACAACATGGCCTCTTCCTTTCATAGTGAAACTAGTTCTTTTGGAGTTTTGGACGTAAAGTACCGCCCTTAACTGTAATCAACCTTTCAATTGTAAGTTATTCTTTTCATCTTTTTAAAGGTAAGATCCTTTGTTCGCGTTTCTGTGCTACAACTAAGAAACAGCGCCAAAAAATTTGGAACAATACAAGCGACAGGCCGCTAATTAAAGGCACGCTTCATTGCTTTGGTCATTTTCAAAAAAAGAGAAGCGAAAATAAGAAACGCATAATTCTTAAGGAAAAACAGAAAAATGAAACACCATAAACAAGGCAGTACGTGCTGGCTGAAAACGTCCAAGTCATGGACCGACATAGCAACGTTTTCAAAACGTTTCCGAAGTTGTTCACATCCGTAATCAAGACATATTGTTCTACAATCCCTTTATCGTGTAATTGGTTAGAATCACATGTAAAGAACAAAAGCGAGGCATTCCTTAAGTTCCTATAGCAATAAAGGTGTTTGCTTTGTGAAATTAAAATTTTATTAATTATAAATCTGTACAGAAACGTCGCTTGCCGAAACCGTGAGAACTCACCAACACGGTGTGCCCCAAACATAGTTTTCGCGATCAAGGCGTTGCAATGAGCTTAGTGGGGAATCGAAGTCATTTTACAAATCGATACGGTCAATTGTGGGAAACGAGACATAGTTTTTCGCCTGGTAAGCTTATACGTAATAGTCTTCTAAAATCATAGTGTATTTCTTAAGAGTTTGCTCAAGCCTAACAATGAACGTAAATTAAGGAAAATTGTTTTTAGCTTCCGCTGTACTCACTCGAAATCGGTTTTCTTACTTTCCAAAGAAGTGTAGTTGTATCCCAGAGAGTAAATGGAACAAACGCAAGTTTTAAATATATAGAGCTTCTTTTGATGATTTTTCTCTCCTACGTATTGCTTCGCCAGCGAAATGCCCGGCCTTTTCCAGTTCAGCATATGTAATACACCGACGATTGAAAACTTATTCGTGGCTAGCGAAGCACAGTGTATTTTAACGATAGCCATATGCTTAATAATTTTAGGACAAAAAATGAACTTTTATTTGGCTCTTCCGTTGCTTGCACTTTAGAGTTTAAGACACCGAGGATAACTCTCTCTTTCTTAATGTTAAATTTTATGGAAATATGTTTATAGACAAAAAGATTTGTGGCTGTGACATGAAGCCCAGAAATTGTGGTTTCAAAACTGAGTTTGTTAGTTGTAGTTTTACTTCAACGTTTGCTTCAGAGCGAATATCTTTAACGGGCAAACAGAAAATGAAAATGAGGCCACCGATAACAGACGTAGAAGAATGCCATTGATTCTGTTTAACCGAATATCATTCAGTTTAAAATACTGTGTTTTAAAACTGTAACTGTTTTATTTCTGAGCACGTCTTGTATGTAGGATCGCTCAAATTATACAAAAATAAACTAACTTTCCAACACGAAGTATATAATATTCTGCTTTTTTATCCGCCGCAAGGTGTTACAAACCTGAAAGCAAGGTGTGTTCAAGGATGAAACTGCTGCAGCTGGTCCACCAAGGTCTAATTAGTTTTTGTGACCAGGATGTTTAAAATTGTTTTAACTTTTTGTGAATCAGGATGTTTTCTTTGTACGATAAGAGTTAAAACAAAAATAAAACAAATTTCCAAACTGATCTCTACTTTTCTTCATGAATGAGTTGATCTATTAAAAGAAATTTTCAAGACCGCGTTGTTCTTTAACCTAATCTCTTGACATTGTATGGATATCCTTAGGAGAAATTTGACGTTAGTCACTATTGGGACTTAATGGGTTATTATACGCTTGTTTTACCCTTTCTATACTCATCTCTGATTGCGTAATTATGGAGTTGCTTTTGGGAGAGTTCACGGTAGACACATGTACTCATGGCGGACCTATTTTTATGACCCTTTTTTTCTCTTGGTATCTTTCACTACAGGTTTACTAAAGCGGAAAAGCAGTGGTGTAGGAGACAACGGCGAGGCCGCAAGCCCGGAGAGCTCTGATAGTGACTACAGTAGTGGACAAACATCAGCATCTAAAAGATTACACATGGAATCCCCGCTTCCCACGGTAATTCCAAGCCCCACGGATATCCTTACTAGGGCATTCCCTGGTGTATCCCCCACTGTCCTAGAACATGTGTTAAAGGGCTGCAATGGAAATGTTCTTCAAGCTATTGAGGTCATTGTGCAGTACAACGCCACAAAACCGCTGACAAACGGCATAGTTGGTCAACAGAATGTACTGCCGGCTCAAGCTTCACCTGACACGATTCCCCAGGTCCCCCCTCATGCGCAAGTTCCCACCCCTGGGTCCATTCCCCCAATTTTCAAGTTCAATTACGTCAATGGACAATATAGATACCTTATGCCACCATCTTTGATGCCACTGGCCTCGTACATGATGCCCACAACGAATGGTTTAGGAGTTCCGTTTCCACAATTTCCGGTCGACATGCAAAATCACCATTTCAAGTCAGTGGAAAACACACCGGAAACGGAAGTAAAAAGCGAAAATGGAAGTAGCGAGACGAAACCTGTTGTCAATGGTTACCACACAGGTGTGTGTAAAGGCTGCGGTCAGGATACGAATCCAAATGAAAATCTCTGCTTAGCTTGCTCGGCTTCTTTCACAAGAAAATGATCTTTTTCCACTAAAGTTATTTTAATTTATTTTTAAAGATGTTTAATACTGAGAATTTTTGTATAAATGAATTATCTCATTGGAGATTTTATGAGAGTTTAAAAAGGTAAATTTCAGAATGTGGATAAACACAGTAAAAGTTATTTAATTTCCCAAGTAAGGTCATTTTTATTAATAATTTTATATTGTTTCATAACCAAATGATAATGATTTTTTACCGAAGTTTTGTATTGTCAATGACCAATTCTTCGACGGTTACAGTTTGAATATAAGGACGCTTCTAAATTTTTGCAAGGTTTTACACATTTAAGTGTCTTCAGTATCCATATTTGGAGTTACTCAGGAAAATTGACTTTAGAGTCGTTTTTGTAAGGCAAATTTGTCTGATCCGCGATGTTTTTTCTATTCCGCTGCGCTGCTCATGGACTCAAGTAAAGAAAAAGCGAGATTTATAAGAAAAAAGCTGTAAGTTAACGTGAAAGGTAGAGAGAAGCTAATGCTTTAGTATAAAGTAAAATTAAATTGGAGAGAAGTTTAAAATTCATCGTGTTTAGTTGTCTCGTTTCCTCAACTCTGGGGTTTTTGGCGGGACCATCGGTTGAGAACAAAACTGAGCGCACACTTCCGCAGGACACCCAAGGAAGCGACGCACACACAGATCTCTCTCCTCCGCAGAGGAACCCGCTTGGTATTCCAATAAAAATAGGAGTACTTGAAGGAAAAACAGTACGCGCGCGGTGGACTATGGGAAGAGGGAAAAGGCGGGAACGATGCCTCACTCCCTCTCTTTACCTTTCCCATCGTCTCCCGCGCGCTTTCTTTTTTCCTCTCCCCAGACTTCCTAGGACACAAAGAGGCCTCTGCGCCCGGAGGAGAGTGAGCGCACAAATATCTCCCAGATAAATTGCAGTTCAAGATAAACTTCTGTGCGTTACAGTTTATTTGTTTTCCCTCGTCGCTAGCTTCCTCTAGGACAACTCTCTCTTTCCCCTTTCTATTGAACCAAATTTTCAGCGAGTTCATAATTAGAAATGTGACAAGAACATAGCACCAAAAGTGTTGCTGGCTAAAACAACATTTTAAATTCATAATTTTACAACTCTTTATACAATTTGATTTTCAATACTCGACCACCCTGGCTATACAGTTTACGTTCATAGTCAACTTTATTTACAGCTTGTTCATATTTTACAATTAAAGCTTGGGAAGCCATAAGCTCTAATATTTATATTTAACATTTAAGGCAACTCTTTGTTGGCCTACCACCCACCCCTCTAGGGACTCTCTCACAACAGCAACAGGGGTGCCCCATGGGGATCCATGTCATTGTGGCTTTGCTCTGTTGGCTATAAATTGTTTCTCTTTAAACTGTGTTTTTCGGGGTCTTTCTGTCGACTTTGTAAAATTGGGATTTTCATTTGCTTGTTTTGAACTGTGTTTTCTGCGCCCTTGGCAACCGTTTTCGGCGAGCTAGACATTGTGAATTAGACTCGGGAGCTTTAGCATCGACGACGACGACGGCAGCGAAAACGTCGCTTCTAAAACGAATCCGGTTTCTTAAACTTTGTCGCGTCTATTCCAATTCGCTGAAAATGTCAAATGAAGGCGAATTTCCCTAGAGCTGATTTCTTAGGGGACCGTACTCAAGTTTAACAAGAGAAAGAAAGATTTGTTTACGTCTCCATAAAACGTGAAACTAGGCATTTTCACGTCATAGTCGTGCAGTGACGGCAACGAAATGTACAGAAAAGCGTGATGCACGTGCAAAGTTGTTTTGCTTAATAAACCTACTGCTTTTTTGCCGTTCTCGTTGCCGTCGTCATTGCTAAAGCTCCCGGGTCATGAGCCACAAATGAACATAATCATAGGAAAAGATTAGCGACCAGGGGCCTTTTTCTTTTCTTTTCGGGCTTGGAAAGCTGCTTTGTGTTTGCTGCGTTTGCATTCAAGATCAAAGTTTCAATCATGTTGAAAATGACCAAATGAAACTATCAGTTAACGACCTAAAATTGACTGATTTATGGGTTAGGAACTCAGGGGCGGATCCAGGATTTTTTTTAGGAGAGGGTGCACTCGTCTCTTGCTCTACTTCAACACCAATAAACCACATAGTTTTTTTTTGCAGAATACCAGTTGTATTAGAAAACCGCAGGTCATCTCAGGGAGGGGGGGTGCGTACCCCCTGCACCCTCCCCCTAGATCCGCCCCTGGAACTGTGCTACTATTCAACAGGTTTGGATGTTAAAATTTGCCTTCGGGCCCGAAAAGCTTCCGGGCCTTTTGAGAAACGCACCCCAGATCCGGTTTAAAAGAGTTAAACACGTTCACAGAGGCTGAATGCATCAGCGGCCACGGCTTCTAACAAGGGATCTGATTTTGTGCCAACTGAATCAAATCGTAGACACGAGTCCTGTGAATAGAAAAAAAGCAACAATGGGCGACTCGGTTACTTCGACTGGAACGCTACTTTGATAAACCACTCTCGTGGGTGGTAAAACGTATTACTAACACTTCATGTGAGCGAAAAAAAATTCACTTTTTCAACTTAAGGTAACTCTACAATCCTTACCTGTAGTTTAAGTAGGAGTCTCGAACCACCTTCACCATGTAGGCGGCCGCTTCTCGTTCGCTCTGCGCAGGGCTGAATCTTGCTCTGTTGTAAAAAACATTTTAAAAATAGTTTTTTTTCACTGGAGCTTTTCTTGTCTGGCTGATGCTGGAGCAGGAAAGAGAATGAAACTGTGGTGTTGTGTGGATGGGGGGAGGGGTGAAAGGTAGATTAGCCCATTGCAAAACTTGGTCACATGCTTTGATACCATTTAGCAACGGCATGCTGGATGGCAAGCAATCCAAGCGTTCATTCAGACTGCAAAAAGCTTTGAGTGCGATTGAGTGACGCCTTCTTAGGTTAATTCAAACGTCGCTTAAGTTCTCTAGCCCATTCATTTCGCTTAATTTTCAACAAAATAATTAACCTAGGAATACTTCGCACGATCGCACTGAAAGATTAACACTTGGATGACTTGCCATCCAGCGAGCGGTTGCTAAGTGGTATCCAAGCACGTGACCAAATTCTGCAAAGGGCCTATTGGCCACCTCATGGGGATTGAGAAGCTGACGTTTCGAGCGCTAACCGTTTGCTTCGCTGTGACGAAGGGTTATAGCGCTCGATCATTATACATTTCTGGGAAACTGCCCACGTACCCCTTCCCTAAGCCAACATTAACACTTACTTCTCACTTAGGGCAAAATGTTGGCTTAAGGGAGGGGTAGGTAATACAAAAGATTAAGAAACGTCCCAAATCTTTGTGTTTTCTTCCAAAGCGACTATCTCAGTTGCCTCACTACTTGTAGAGACCTGGCATGCTAATGATGTTAACAAGATGCTTGATCACTGTTATAGCGAGTCACCTGAGTCTCTTGAGCGTCTCCCCCCGGAAACACGGTAGACCAGTGTCCAACATCAGAGCCACAAGGGACACAATTGCCTCCTGGTATGGCCTGTGGGAAGGAGCAAATCACAAAAAAATATATTCACAAGCGTTTTTCTAGCACGCTTAGATTTTAATATGCTTCTTGATTGCCTAAAAAATCTCGCGCCTTTTTTCTCACCAAAATCTATAGTCACTTGCCTCGGCGCGCGTTTATTCCCGCGTTTAGGGCAAGCTACACGTATCGAGTGCTGATTGGTTCAAATGTAATATCCGTTTTAGATTTGATTGGCCAGAGCAGACATAATGGTTTTGGTTATTGGACACTCAGTTAAAACCCCCGTATGTTAAGACAAGATTAATTCCTTCAGCTATATATTAACTAGGAAATAAATTGACAACTAACCGCACTGTAAGATAAGCTTTCACACATAGATCCATGAACCATCTGAAAAGAGAATAATCAACGTCAGTATCATGAAAACTGTCGATTGACATGGTTGAGAATACTAACAAAAATCAAAGATGAAAAGCGTTCGTTTTTAAGTGGAGCAACGAGTTTCCATTACAAGTGCTGAGGTTTTAAGAGAATTTCAGCAGGACACTATGCGAACGAGGTTGGTTTCTTTTAGGTTCTTCGTACTTTTCCATTTTACTAAACTGCTATTTTAAGGTTGTGTCTAACTGCAGGACTATTTTGTAGTTGCAAAATATTGAGTCGAAATATCGTAAAAGATCTGCTTCACTATTACTTGCATAGTTCCTGTACGGCAATTTCCCACGCCTTCACTGTCAATTCAATTCGATGACGTATACGAGACGAACGGCCTCACTCGGACCATGTGACCCGAAACGCGTAGGCCGCGCGGAATAACGAGGCTTAAGTACTAGGCAACAATGTTACCTGAAGGATGGTGACTCCATTGTTCCGCCCATAATCATCACCATTTCATGAGAAAGCTTCATGTCAGGTTCAAAACCCAGATTACCTCCAGGAGAAGACTCGAACATGAACCCAAAGTCTACAATACAAATTAGAAACGAGAATGGGGTATCAAGACGATAAAATGATAAAGAATCTGCTTATAGCAACTATGACGATGCCGGCAACGACAACAAGAACACCAAAAAAAGCGACAGGTTTGAATAAATAGGCTGATTTTGCAACAGGACGGGAACGTCCGTTGACGACGGGAAAGCGCGCGGAAAAGACGACTTCCGGTGCTCAATTTGCCGCTCTGACATTGGTCAAGCCAGTTGTTTGATTTGCGCGCGCCGTCATCAACTGAAGTTTCCTCTCTGTTGCTAAATCAGCCTAATATATAAACAACAACAACAACTTTGTAAGTGCATCACGCTTTTTTCTTGAATAATAATTCGTGAGCACCCAAGGTGCTCACGAGTTACTTACCTATGTGTATTATATGACCAGCTCTGTTGAGCATCAAGTTGCCGTTGTGTCTGTCCTTTATCTGTAGCAGGAAGCTTACAATAGAGTACGCTGCCATGCTCTTGATAAAATTCGCTCGAGCCTGAAACATTCAATCAGCAATTAGTCACAGAGAACACGTGAACAGATTCCTTAGCATCTTCTCAAATACTTTACTTCAGTACACTGAGAACCTGACCTGCTGGAAGGCGGAAGAACTTTCATCACCATATGTCTTCTGGTAGTATTCATACAAGTCTACTTCTGTTTGACGGCCAAGTTGATCACGTGACTTGGAATCAGGTACGCACTCGATGACACCATTCTGAGAAAAAAAGTTTCAAAGAACGTTTCATAGAACTTTCAAAAATATTTTTACTAAAGCTATGTTCACAATATAGCACGGTCGTTTCGCCTACCCCGATGTTTATCAGCAATACAGAGATGATGGTTCATTTGTTGACACGCCTGAGCACGCGCATGATGTGCTAAACATCGCCTAGGTGAAGACAAACTGACGTCTTTCTGGGAAACTGTCCACCTACCCCTCCCCTAACCCATCATTTTGCCTTATGTGAGAAGTAAGTTTTAATGTTAGCTTAGAGGAGGGGTAGGTAGGCAGTTTCCCAGAAACCTAAATTAATTCTGAATGAGTTACTTACCCCTGGTGCTGTGGCCACTACTCTGTAGGGTTTAAGGTAAACATCCAATCCAACCTGCTCGAAGATGTTTTTGAAAAGTGAGATCACCTGCAAAGCTAACATATCCTACAAAAAAAAATAATAATAAAGAATAAATGAATACATAAGTAAATATATAAACTGTTCACAGTCTCCTATTTTTTCGTGCGCGCGCTTACCGATGCGGACGACCATGTTGGTTTCCAAACCCTTGCCCTGCCCCCTAAGTGGATTTGACACTCATCACCAGGCTATACTCGTGGAAAATATGAAACCAAGATGGCAGCCCGTAACGCAAAGCGCTCGATCTCGACGATCACGGAAAAAAGCGGACTGTAAAAAGTCTAGTAAATAAATAAAAGCACTGACAAACATCAACATCTTGAAAGCAAATACCTTCGATATTTTAAGGTAAAAGTGATCATAGAAAAAGGAACCGAAAATCAGTTGGGAGCATTACATGTTTCTGGGAAACTGTCCACCTACCCCTCCCCTAGGCCAACATTAACACTTACTTCTCAAGTAGGGCAAAGCGTTAACTTGGGCGAGGGGTAGGTGGGCAGTTTCCCAAGAACGTATAATGATCCATGGGTTGGGAAGGAAGCAGGAAGAGAGGAGGAGTAAATTTGAAAAATACATCTTACCTGCCTCACGTCATCTCCAACTTTAAATATGGCGGCCTGCCAGTAAATCTTTGGAGATTTTCCTCTCGCTACTTCCTCTTCTCCACTGTCTGATGATGAAAAATCTGTGGAAAGTCAAGATGAATAAGAGAAGGGCGAGAGTTTATCCACTCTTGGTAGCTGAACTAAAGGGCGCACGCCATTTTGACTCACCTTTTAAAGCATTAATATTCTCCAGTTCCTGTATTCCACAATGCTTGACCTTAAACCGCGCGAGGAATGGAGCCTTGGCGGCGCTCTGCATGGGGGTACCGGAGTTATAATCAATTTCCAGCACCAGGGCCTCGGGGTTACTGGGAAGGTACACGCCTTCCTGGGATTGGATCTTGCTCAGCGCTTCAAGACACGCCTTCTTTCTTTCGGGACCTTTGGGATATGGTCTGTTGCGCCAGCATGGAAAGAAGGAAAAAATGTTATCACTAGGCTGGGCTATTCAGTCAACACGAAATTGCGCGCGCATCCTACAGACTATTCACCGATCAGCATAATAACCTGATCTCCAGAATTGATCGTAGGCTTTTAGCCAATGGGAAGACAGAAAGGGAGTACAAAGTGAAATAATTCCGGTTAACGCACCTTATTGTTCCAGATACTGAAGTGACTTTATCAAAGAAATCAAATTCCCGCTTGTAGAAATCAAGCGCTGTTCCTGATAGCGAGTTGGAAATCCTGTCGATAAGATTTTCTAAATGTTGTCCAATCTCCGGGTCTTTATTCTGAGCTTCCTCGTCCGTGAACACATTGGTCTTCATGTTCCAGATAAGCTACAATACAGTAAGCGTACAAGCTTAAGTAATATCAACAGGTAAATTCTCTGAAATGTTTACCATACACTTACAGCGGATTCTATTAAAGAGAATTTGTTTTGTTGTCTTCTCTCTGCTGTTCACTGCATAAGTTGCTTAAGTAGTACTAGGAGCAAAATATTTTGGCTGTAATACAAACAAGAGAGTACACATCATGCACCACTGGTGGCACGATTCTGGTCTTTAAAACGATACGATATGGGCTCCCGATATCAATCGATACCTGGCAATCTTTTAGAAATTGAATATCGATACTATGGCGTCGATTAATCAAGAGTTTCATTCACTGTAGCTGTATTTCAACATACCGTGTTACAAGGCTTAAATAAGGCAACAGTATTTGAAGTTGTAATTTCTTTGTGCGCAAAAAACTATTTTGGGGTTTCACGTCGTCCACTGTAGTATCTACGGACACTTGCTCTTGTCGGTAGCGCCTAAGCAAGATCTACTCACGTACGATGTATTGAAAGGCCAGTACCGATATGGGTAATCGGTTTAGCGATATCGGTCAAACCTACCTGATGCGCCAGAAGCTGAGAATGCTGCGCAGCCCATAATATGTATTCACTGACGAATCCCAGTGCGTCATAGCGAGTGGCTTGCACCAGCTGAGGAATGTACAGTATGATTGCATCTGGTGGGAAGGACTGTAGTACCCTGATAGCATACTGTGCCGTCAGGGGGTGAGGTGGGTATTGCTGGGAAAAATAAGCCATGGCCTGGACTGGAGGAATGGCGGACCAACAGAGCACGTGTGTCAACTCAGGGATGTCGGCTTTGACATTTTTTTCCGTGACAAGGTACTAAAAAAAGAAATTTTTGAAAGTCAAGAAACCTGAAGTCTTGTAATTTGGTTCTAGCAGCTAAGTGTGAATAAACATTTAAAGGAAAGCTACTGCGCACTACTTTTCTGTGGTACTGTGTATTATTGTGTGCAAGATGGCTCTAACTTTTGAGTCTGTGGATGAACTCCTATGGTGTAACTACTGAAATGAAAGCTACTGAGCAGTACTTTCCTTTAGTACTGTTTTTGTGCTGTTTTAGGTGGTTATAACTCTTGAGTCTGTGGATGAAATCCATAACTGTGACCATTCAAATAAAAGCCACTGAGCAGTACTTTCCTGTGTTTAACTTTCTGAGTCTGTGGATGAAGTGTGACCACTGACATGAATGCTACTTTGGTACTGTTGTCTAATGTGGTTGTTACTTTCAAGTTAGTGTATGAAATACAATAAGTGTGACTACTGAATCAAAAGCTATTGATTAGGACACTGCTGTAGTACCGTTTAATTGTCAAGAATTTATGTCCTCTAATAAATGTTGTTTACAACGTTTGACACCACCATACCTGAATGGCTTCAGGGATATCAGACACCGCTGTAGGGTGGATCCTAACAAGACGACTCACTTCTTTGTGAATCACTGGTACTTCTTTGAATCTAAACAGTCAAATCACTGCATTGGTGTACAAACTTTAAAACGTGTGAATGGCAAAGTCGCCATTACCAGAAAAACTGATACTTGGAGACACGACATGGATGTTACCTATGGATTATAAGCCATGAATGGCCAACAATACCATTCTTAAGATATATATTTTGGAGCAAAAAAAATCCTGAATATCAAAAGGAGAAACGTAACTTGGAGGATCGAAGACCTTTTTCATTAATGCCACTCGGAAAAAACTACTAGATGTCTCAACCCTCCCATTCCCAGAGTCACAACCCCGGACAAAACTGCTGAGACAGTTCCATCTATTTTCTACCTTTTGCGCGTTACTCCCGTCTCCTCTAATCAGGAAAAGAACGCCCCCTCCCCACCCCCGATTCAATATTGTCTTGGTCTAAAAACCAACGTGTATAATTGTCATGCTATCCTAAACAACTTTGGATAAGGGGAGGGGGGAAATAGGGCATTCATTAGGCGACGGTTTCAATTTTTGCCAGGATGAAAGGCAACCTCGTCCCCAGGGCTTTTCCCTTTTCCCCACCCATTTTTTAAGGGAAAAGCCCTGGGGACGAGGCTGGATGAAAGGAAAAATAGGCATTTTCGCGATTTGTCCCAACAGGTTTTAGCTATAGAGACAGACAAGTAACGCTTTCTTTTCGCCACTTTAACCGCGATGATCTTATTCTTTGCATTTATTTCTTCACTTTCCGCTTACAGTACATGAAATTCGTATATTTATCATTTCAGCCCGGGGGGGGGGGGGGGGGGGGACTCCCATATGAAAGCGGCTGGGATGCTCGTCGGAAATTTTGAAATAAACCCCTAAAGAGATCAATCTGGGCGTGGCCTAACCTTTTTTGGACTCCTAAAAGAGACTATTTTAAACTTTGATTACATCAATCGAGTGAATAAAACGAATTGGAAATATATAATTTTTTTATATTCCTTCGCGTGTTCGGCAAGTTTCAAATCATGTCCATCCTTACCATCTGTTGCAACAGATGACCGGGAACAGTTTCAACGGCTAAATATAATCTCAAATAACAAAACTGGACGCTTTTTAAAAGGTAGCAAACACCGTGACATATCCCCTTTAACCCTTTAAGCCCCAAGATCCACATACAAATTCTCCAGAATGATCTCCATACATTTCCCTTAAAATTAGTTAAGAGAATTTAGTTTAAGATCAAAGCATTCTCCTTTGATAATCAATTTAGTAATTCTCATAACCTTTACTCTTGATGATCTGCAGATATTGTTAGGAGAAAATTGATGTTGGTCACTCGTGTGAATCACAGTACCTTACTGGTAGAAACACAGCAATATCCGGTGACATGTGCCACGCCAATCTGACCAGGTCCCTCCAGATTCTCTCGGTAAAAACAGTCTGATTTGCCCAGTTCACCATGGACTCAAGCCCAGTAAAACTCAGTTCGGGTCTGGCTAAGGGGTTATGCCACGTGGACAGCCTGTCAATTTCTTGTCGGATCAGAGCCAGAATGAGATTGCGTCGTTTTAAGTAGTCTTTCAACACATGTTGGTTGCCTGTAGCTTCTTTACCACCTGAGTTCCCAGTGGCTGAGCGCCGAGACGAAAGATTGCTGGAAAGCGGTATTGTGTTCATCCAGCGATTGCCCTGCAATGAAAACAATTGATAACATATTACATTGCAAAAGTGCCAGCCTGTTCCAGGTATTCAGATTGTAGGACGGTGCAAAGAGACGTGAGGAAGAAAAACAGCGAGGGGTGGGGTAGGTGGGGAGTGGGAGCGAAGAAACGCGTTCTCTTCTCTCTCCCTCTCCTCCCCCTTATTTTTTCCACTCTCTGACTTCCCGCCGCACTCCACTATCCGAAGGTATCCGGTCACCTTGCCACCAACGAAATTGCTACCAAGAAACATATATCTAAATACTCACTGAAAGGACAAGTCTCTAAAACAAGAATTTTCTCACTTTAAATTTACGATGAAATTTAAGGAGGTAAGGTTCAAGTGACAATATTAACCAACTTTCATAAGAAAGGCTGTCGGATTTTAAACAAATCGCACCTCTCGAGCGATGCCAAAAAACCGTATTAAGGTATTAAATAGTTGCAATTATTCACAAAAAATAAAACTAAAGACGAGAAGTTCGACGCAAGGTGTTAATTAAAACCTATTAACTTATATTTGGGCTGGAGAAAGAAGTAATAATCCCAGGTAAGTAAACAGTGTCAGTTGTTGCAGAGTTATTATGTGGTGGCGAGTAGATTTCTTGGTGGCGAGATGATCGTAAACTCATCTGAACGCCTGGAATAGGCTACACAAGTGCTGAAGATTAATCTGCCCTCACGCTATAGTTCTCTTGGTCCCAAAGATACCAAACTTGAAACAAACTCTACTTCCACAATACAGACACGACTCTAATATAGACAGTTTGTTTGGTACCAAAGATACAAAACTTCATACAATCCCCACCACTGTATTTGTTTTGGGAAATGTGGGCAATAATCCTGCACTTACCGATGAAGACTGATGGATTCCTTGCTTCTTCGTAAATGAATGAAGCAAAACCTTACTAAATAAACAGTGAGCGCGGAAGAAAGACACACGCACGAGGGGGGAGGTAGCTTTCTCTATCCTTGGGCGCATCCTCCTCCTTTGCGGCCCGTTCTTATTTGGGCCCTAAATTGCAGGGGCTATCTTTATTGGTACATGTCCCTTATGATCATATCCCTCAGTCCCCCAGGGGAGGAAACACAGAGATTACGGATGTCACCACCCCACCAGTTCAGCTACATCGTATTTCTTTACCATTTCTCCAGTAAAAAGGCCGAAGGAGCTACGCCTTGAGGAAGACACCTGTGATAATGTTGTTAAGGAACGCGTTATTAGTGGATTAGCAAACAAAAGCAAAGTTAATATTATATTAGCATCATTAGCAAACAAAAAATGGGGTAAAATCTGAAGCAAGTGCAAAAAATTAGTAACATAAATGTTAACGCAAGCGTTAGTAAAGAAGACTTGGTTAACCAAGTCAGCAAAGAGCAAAATTTAAAACAAAATTGCCACAGTTTATGCTGGGGGCGCCCTGCCTGCGCACAACCTCCACGCGCTGTCAATAAATAACTTGACGGGAGTATTTCTTCTGGTCCACAAGTCCAACACCATTGGAATACTGCTGTACGTTGCGTAAGATAAGGGCAAAAAAAAGCTAACAAAACATGGCTCCCATTTGTGTACTAAATACATCTACAGATGAGGTTCTAACACACAGCTGTAAAGAGGACCTTTAAAGTTGTTCCCGGGCAGCAAGTACGCAAAGTACCAATAGGCAACAACTTACAACGTACCCTTAAGTACCAGCAGTTAAGCCTTACAATGTACCTTTAGGTAAGGTAAGCAGCCGTGGAAAAGGACCTATAGCGCACTTGCACCTTTAGATAGGGCCCTACCCTACTTCTGGCTAGAGCTCCGAAAAGTGCCTGTGGATAAGGCCCAATGTACTTGCAGTAAGGGCCATAAATTGTATGTTCATATGAGGCCCTCCCTCAGCATACCTGTAAATATGGCCCTAAGCCGGACGATCCACTGGTGTACTGGGAACTGCTTGAGGAAGTGTGTGGCAGAAGCTGACCGGTGGCGTCTACAGGTGATGAAACCATGAAGTACTTCATGTATTTCTTATCTGAGTGCATGGCTTGCCAGAACTTTATCAACACTTGAACGTCTTCCCTGAGCTGTACGTCCTTGCTCACAGGCCACATGGGTTCAACACTGACATAATAACAGCAGATCAACACACCCATTTCTACTCATTTAGCACGTTAACCCTGTAAGCCCCAATATCCACAAACAAATTCTCCAAACTGATCTCTATACATTTCCTTACAGAATAAGTTGGGAGAATTTGATAAAAGATCAAAGATTCTTCTCTTTGTGATCATTTGATTAATTCTCATAGATGTTGCACTTGACAATCTATGGACATTGTTAGGAGAAAATTGATGTTGGTCACTATTGGGACTTAAAGGGTTAAAGACAACATTTGCTAGAAAGATTGACCGGGAGGGAAGGCTCGCAACAAAAGCTCTGCCTGTTCCTAAATGATCCCTCTATCCTGCGAAAACCTATAGTGCATTCCTTCAATGAAACATCTTTAAAGTACTTTCACATAGTACTATTTGTTATTAAGCATGCACTTCTAAATTTTGAGTCTGTGGATGAAATCCTATGGTGTGACCATTTAACTGAAACGTCTTCAGTAGTACTTTCAAATGCTTAGTCTATTTATAAGCATGTAGTTTGAAGTTTTGAGTCTGTGGATGAAATCCTACGGTGTGACCATTTAACTGAAACGTCTTCAGTAGTACTTTCACATGCTACTATTTATAAGCATGCAGTTTTAAGTTTTGAGTCTGTGGATTAAATCCTATGGTGTGGCCATTCAACTGAAACGTCTTCAGTAGTACTTTCACATGGTACTATTAATTTTATAAGCATGTAGTTCTAAGTTTTGAGTCTGTGGATGACATCCTGTGGTGTGACCATTCAAACTATTAGTATTAAACAAAGCAAAATTTTGATTTCTAGGCACTCATTCTTGTGAGTGAAAGAATTAAAACCAGCACACAGGTACCTGAAATAGTCCATCGCATTGAGGTAAATTCTTTCACGGAGGACATTTTTCACGACAGAATTTGTTAAGAAGTCTCCCTGCAGCATGGACAGTCCAAGATGAAGTAACCTGAACCTTGCTCTGAGAGTGGTGATATGCCGAGACAAACAGTTCTTCTTTCCTACACACAAAGGAAGGCATCGCTGAAGCATTGTAGCAAATATTTCCACCTACCAAGAACAAAGTTGAAGAGTTATTCTCAAGCTTTTTAGAGATTTCAGAGTTTCCCTGCTATTCATCACAGCTATTTATTTTTAAGTTCCCTGGGTTCTCTCCTACTCTTCCCTGCGAGAGAGTTGACGGGTAGGAGAGAGAACCTGGGAACGAGTCTGAAAAGAGATGAGGATGGATGGTACTTCATGTACAGTAAATCATGATTTGATTAGCAAATTAGCATTTCAACCTACCAAGAACCCAGTTGAGGAGGTATTATGAAGATTATTAGAGATTTCTGGGTTTCCCTACCATTTATCATATCCATTTTTGTTAAGTAAAAATGAAATGACGATAGATGGTAATTCATGTGCAGTAAATGGTGATTTGGGTCTATGGCGAAGATTTGCTTTGAAACCAAAACCAAGTATTTTGAGGAGGGGTTTATGAAAATAAAAACAACAACAAAAACAACAGCAACTAATTTCCCTTGTCAAATATTTCAACTGAAGAATAACATTAATTGATATTAACAAAGGAGATATTCAGTTGTGGTGAGCTAAGTTCTTTTATCATCCAGATGCATCATGCAGGGTTATTAATTCTCAGGACAAAAGACAACATAGTCACCGTCAACAACAACAGTCCTTTTCAGGACTACGTTCACCCGGACGATCAAACTCAACCTACTTATAAAATGATGTTGTCACTTGTCAACGTACCTGATCACGGCTGTAGTATTTGATCACCTCAAACCTTCGAGCAAGGAACTTTATCCAAATGTCATGAGGAGAAACATTAGGGGCAGTGGGTGGGGATTTGTTGTCCGAGAATACTGCTAAAGGACTGTCCACCTTTTGGTCTGCGGCAAATAACCCCACCCTCCGACAAACAGTCCACTGCCAAGCTGCACTGATTTTACTCAAAATCTGATGATACAAAAAATTAATATTTAAATGATATTTTGTGTGTCCATAGCCAGTGTAGCAAGCATTTCTGTGCGTTTCGAAGCAAGGAACGAAGAACCAGTGTCAAAGACAGCGCGAAAAATGGGGCAAGTAAAACAGCAGGGGGGAGGGAGGGGGGTCATTTTCGTGCGGCCAAAACACAAAATCCTTTTCCTCAGTCTTTCCTTACCCCGAAACCAAATGGAAACGCTAGCTATGCATTCTAGTGTGCCCATGAAACTTAAATTGACTTAAGTGGAGAAATTGTAAACATAATTTTCACTCTGTGGATGGATTTCTCATGTACGGCAATTCAATCCTTTGAATGGTCCCAGGGGGGATGGGGGTCCCTCCCCCCCCATAGGTGATACAAGCAGCTAATTGGACTTACCTGCAATTCAAGGTCTTGTCTTGCACCCATAATCCATTCCCAGCAGGACACAGCAGTGGACATGGAACATTCAGTAAAGAGTTCTGTTGGACACCAGCAGATGTTGTGAAGCAGACGACGGTCAACAACTGAAAGAAGATGTTTTTGATATTACATGTTCAGCTTGCAACAGTTGGTTTAATTAGCTACCTACTACAGTGGCCTGTTCCAGACGATCACAAGCTATTACACATTTAGTTCACTATCTAAGATGCATGCTACTAGGACAGAAACCATTGTCTGTCTTAGAGAGGTGTCTAACATAGAGAGAGTCAGAAAATAACAGATGAATGACAGGGAACAACTCTTGCAGTGTCGGACCCCAGCCCCCCCTTTAACTAAGGGTCTGGATGACCGCCCCCGCCCCCCCCTCCCCCCTTATCAAAGGGTCTGGATGACCGCAAGGTTGCATGTTGTCACCTACTCTTTTTAATTTCTATCTAAGTGATCTACCAAAATTCCTAAATACGGCCAGCTCAACCGACGTTATGCTAAGTGATAAATATATAAATTGTCTCTTATTTATGCAGACGATCTAGTGATCTTCTCTAGATCAGCAAAAAGCCTTCAAATAATCCTTAATAAGCTGGAATCTTTCTGTGAAAATGCCGATTTAAGTGTAAATTTAGACAAGACAAAAATTATGATTTTTAATAACTGTGGTAGGTCTTTAAACAACTACTTGTTCAGATACGGCGCTGCTGAACTGGAAAACGTCAAATCCTACAAATATCTTGGACTCATAGTGAGTTCTTTTGGAAACTTTAATCTCGCTAGGCAAGAGCTGAAGAAAGTTGCACTTAAAGCACTCTAAAAATTACGAAAAGAGATGGGAAACACCAAAAACACCAAAGTTTGATGATAACCTTCCTGGCAGGTGCAAAAAGGGAAGGGGAGAGAGAAGAAAACACAACAGGGAAAAGGGAGAGTTCGCAGAAACGAACAAAAACAGAGTTCTTGTAGAAGGTGTCCCTTTCATCACCTGACATGCGGGCTTCATCTAATTGATGATGTGTCTCACTCTTGTTTTCATCAGAAGTTTTTTTTTTTCCAGCTTAAGAATGATCAAAGTATTTATGCAGTGGTACATACAACTGTACCTTTTGAGGTAACAAGAAAAGCTGAAGCTTTAAACATGGCAGCAACGAAAGAATCCTCACTACTCATCTTGGCGTCAACTAACTGTTTGTTTAACATAGCTGATAAAGCTATATTTGCATCTTGATCATTGGAAGATTGACAGACCAACAGTTCTCTCATGCCCATAACCTAAAAAAAATGGTTAGATTAAAACATCTTTAAAAAATCTTTAGACAGTTCATTCCATGAATGCTCATTCTTGACCTTGGAATTGACAATTGAAAAACAAACCCTTGTCTCAAACGTCTCGAAAGGTGTTAAAAATTCAAGTCTCAAAAGGACTCAGATTTTTTTAAATGAATTTCCTGCAATTTTCAATCATTTGTTGACATATGACTTATTCAAAAGACAACACTGAATGTTCATTGCTGATGTGAGAGAGTGTGATACAGTCAAATGCTGCAATACGAAAAAATCGCTCACCTTTTGAGACTAAAATTTTTTTTACAAACTTTAAACAGTCGCGTATAAATGGGAACGGCTGGGTAGGGGAACGCATTTCACTAGGATTATGTGTTTACCTACCACTATCACTATATCACATATCACTAGCGATGCGTGTTTTCCGGGTAGGGGAACACTCATCACAAGCCATATGTGTTCCTCTACCTGAGAACACATATCCCTAGTGATATGTGTTCCCCTATCCGGGAAACACATACCATTAGCGATATGGGTATCCCGGGTAGGGGAACACATATCACTAGGAATTGTTCCCGGGTAGGAAAAACGCATTCCGCTACGGATATGTGTTAGAGAGAACACATATTACTGTGACATGACAGTGATATATGTTGCCCCCCTTATATGTGTTCCCCAGAACACATATCGCTAGTGATACATGGAAACACATATCCCTGGTGATATGTGTTCCCCTTCCCGGGAAACACATATCACTAGTGATATGTGTTTTCTGGCCTGGGGAACACACATCACCAATGATATGTATACCAGGGCAGGGGAACACATACTTGAGATTATATATAAGCAAAGAGTAAACGTCATAAAATGGCCCCTACATATAATTGCTTAATGATTACTTTCTTAATGGCAAGACCTGGGCGTTTGGATAAGGAGTAACATTTAAAGGAGAAAATAAATGCATTAGTTACTGTTCACCCGGCCTTGCAGGTGTAGTAGGGCACTTTAATTTGAAGTAAATGACTATAAGAGTTTGTTAAAACAGGTACCTCTCCTAAATAGCGATTCCTATAAGTGAGTCCCGATACGAGTTGAGAAGAGTCTTGTTTGACGCAGTTGGGTCGCTTGTCCAGTAAAACCCCACTTACAGCCACAGAGGAGGGGTTCAGTCCAGCAAATCGTAAGACATTCTCTGTCGCTAATGACAGGCCAGTGTGATGGGAGATTCCCTGTGATGCATTTTTCAGTTTCATGATGTAATCCTGGGTACGATGAAAGAAAAGTGAAATATTTCAATGTAAAATCACTGCTCAAAATGTCTAAATTCAAAACTATGTATGATCACAAGAGATATAAACGACATTTGCCATTGGTTTTAGAAAACAAAGCAAGGGCTCAAATAATGCCGCCACTCAAATAACAACAGGAGCTGCAGTATTTAATATATTATTAAATATTATCATCATCGGAACTATAACATATAATACTAGAAGACTAGAAGAGGTGCACAGGGCTCAAAAAAATTTCCATCCAGTAGCCTGGGACAAGTAGATTTTCTTGCTGGGAAGGAACATTTTAAGTTTACTTACCTCATAAGCAAAGTCCAGGCAAATCATCCTCTAACAAAATCATTAACTAAGACAAGCAAGAAGTGGCTCCCGGCGAGCAAAATAAGAGAGCTACCTATCCAAAGGACAATTAGCTGGAATTCAACTTTTCTGTCATGTATTTGCTCAGCCAGTAAGAGCCGAATAGAGTCGTCTTGCTATAGATGTGTATGTGTTTAATTTGTCTGAAGACATCTCCACTAACCTGTAGTAAAGACCTCGTTGTTTCTGGAGCCCATTTGATGGCCTCCATGATGATTCCACTGCACCGATCAGCAAAATCCCTGACAGTTCCCTCGCGACCATCCATTTCCTCAGAGACGGTCAGCCTGAATGGTACAGAACTGGGAACATTGATCTCAATTGTCTGGTGGTTCTCATTCTAAATCAGAAAATATACATTTCGTAGTGTTGGAAATCAGAAACAAGGTCTCTCCAATCATCTTTAACCCCAATACTAGAAAAACAAATTCATCACACTCAACTCTATACATCTCCTTACAAAATTAGTTGAGAGAATTTGATAACACATTAAAGCATCAATGCATTAATTTTTCTTTAGGTGATCACTTTGTCAATTCTCATAACCTGTTCTCTTGGTTGAGTAATCTGTATGGTGTGCTGATTTCCAGAATCAACTATAGCCTCCTAAGTAATAGAATACTAAAGTGTGGGGTTGACCCCAAAAAAATTTAGAAGGGTTTGTATGGAGTTTTCTAAGCATAACTGGGCTATGATCTCCGAGACAATTTGCCCCGAAATGCTCATTTTTGGTAAGTAGGCCTCTTGGACATTGTTCTTTCAGAATATCCTGACAAATCCCATAATTTCAGAAATTTCATTTTTATGACATCACACTTTAGTACTCTATTACTTAGGAGGCTATAGAGTTTTCTGAGTATAGCGGGCTAACATCTCAGAGACAATTTGCCCCGAAATGCTCATTTTTGGTAACTAGGCCTCTTGGACATTGTTCTTTCAGAATATCCTGACAAATCCCATATTTTCAGAAATTTCATTTTTATGACGCCATCAATTTAGTAGTCCATAAGGAAACAGAAAGTGTGTATAATGTTTAATAATGTCTTTATCATTACAAGTAGACAGCAATGCATGATTACTAACTGGATGATTGAGGCACTGGGAGAGTTCTTGAAGCAAATCCAGCATGAAGTGTAATACTCTTCCATTCCATAGAAGATGGGGAAACCTAAAATCATACATTAAAAGAGAAGAAAGACAAAGTCACTGATTATTACCCAAGTAAATATTGTTGCAAGCATGGTGGCAGAGCATGCAGCTAGCATTTTTTTCCCAAATATTTTTGGGGCTTGAGAGAGCATTTACCTCAAAGCAAGTTAGCAAGATTAACCATCTACACACAGTCAAAACTAGTCACTCTTTTCTACGCCCTTACTTGTCAACAAAGGATGAGAGATACTTGTCAGCAACACGTCTGATCCTTTTCTGCAGATGATTGAACTTGACAAGCAAAAACTGTGCATGTGTTTCTAATTCATCTTCCCTCTTGGTCGTCCTTGGTTTGTTTGACATGACGTCAAGAAACACAGAGAAAACTTTGTCCCCAACAGCAGAAATACACTGCCACATTCCTTGAACAATCATGGGGAAAAAGTATTAAAGGACAACTTATAAAAGTGTGGACAATAATCTTTAAAATAATATAAATAATAGTCCTTTCCTTACTCTACATCTTCTACATGAATATAAACTGTGACTAAGAGGGGACATGTAAAAAGCAAACAACAAAAGAAAATCCTTATCTATTTTATTAAACAATAATACCAGTAATTTTTTATTTATCATAATACAGTGAATAGGTAAACAGTAATAATAAAAAAGTTCTTCCTTACCAGCTTTATCCTTTTCAATGGCTTTGTCCTCTAAATAGTCAAAGATGGAATAAAATTTGCCAGGATCAGATGATACCCGTAGAGATTCCAACCGATAAACAGACAACAGGTATGTACACTGTCCAAAATTCAGTCTGTTCACCAGTGTAATGATCTCGGCAGGATTACTCAGAGCTTCCAGCAGAGAAGTGCGGACCTCATTCAATTCAGCCTGAAAAACAGTTAACACGCATCAACTTACAAAAAAAAAATGTCAACTGTCTAGCAATAATAAAAGAATACCATATGGCACGAAATTTTTGCAGGAGTTTATTTTTGCGGATTAGCGAGTTTTTGTGTTTTGCGAGAACTAATTTTTGCGATTAGGACAGATTGGTTTTTCTTTCTGGGAATTATTTTTTGTGATTTTCAAAAAGTACCCAGTACCCAGCATTGGTAATATTTTCGTTTTTATTGAATACATGCAATAGAAATACATATTTTCAAGTTGTTATTGAACAGACACAATTTCTTAGAACTGTACTTTTGTATAGCGAATTTAAGTTAGAAAATTTACTCTGAAGTAAATTTTTGCGGGAAAAATGTTTGTGGCAATTTTTATTTGCGGGAATTTATTTTTGTGGATCGCTGGAAAAACTGCAAAAATCGCCAAAATTAGAATAGGTAACAAGTAACATTTGACCGTGAGAAGCTCTACTGTGTGGCATGAAATTTTTGGTCAAATACTAGTCTAACAATCCCAAGGCTGACAAATTTAGGAGCTGCTGGCCCAGAAGGGTAGGAAGAAGCAGATGCTTTACTTGGTTGAGGCCACTCTACAGAAAAAATTAGGTATGTGCTGTTTAATATCATAAGTCAGCTATGCTGTTACTGATGAGTACTTGTATGGCAGTAAAGCTGATGATGATGATGATGATGATGATAGTTCGATGATGCTGGTGATTGGATTGCTTCCTTGGAACAGCTTTTTGATTGAGGATTCTATCTCCAGCTTTTAAGTTTTCCACTGCCTAAATGGGTTTGGGTTGGGTTGGGGTGGAGTAAAGTTAAAACATGAACATCTGTGATGATTTCATTTACTTTACTTTTCTCTTTTAACAGTATTTCTAGAGCAAACAGGTTCCTTAAACTAAAGTATCCGTGGTAGCCAATCAGGAACAAAATAAATTACAGACATATATTATAACAATATCACTTACAGGATTCACAGAGTCATTCCTCAAAGCTGAATTGTACATCAGTTCTGATCTCAAATGACCTGTGCCGAGGAGTAAAGGAGATTTTGACGCGATCTGACACACTCCCTCATACCACTTGTGTGGCCACAGACCGGAACCTTCAACACCAAAGCCCATGACAACACAGTAAAGCCAGAAGTCACGGAATAACTTGTGCAGGCGAGGCTTGGGGTCAGTAATGACAGGGAGTCGCTGCATTACAATGGAGATGACAGGGATAAGGACACCAAGGTTACCAGCACTGGATGAAGCCTAGAAGGATATATAAAACAGGCAATGATCAGCCAGAAATAGTTTGACAAAAATGCCTTTTGAACTCTCTTCAATACAAAAACCATTCTCCTAAGCTATCAGCTTACTTGCAGACACTCGCTTCCTGAGTTAGGACCAAAGTGTTGTTCGATAGACTGGGGCTAATAAATATCTATTAAGGAATAAAATCTTCAGATTTCACAGTTCAAGACCTGCTTATCTGCTGGTGTGTATAATGCTAAAGGCTTGTTAGCTTAATTGCTAGAATGGTGCACCAGTATCACAGAGGTCAAGGGTTCAAATCCTGTACAAGCCAGAATTTTTTGGAGGGTTCCTTTTCGCAACTGCAAAAGTTGTGCATGTAACTGTGATGATCATCCTTCATTTAATTCTTCACTTTGCAGTTCACATATATGATTTTCATTCTTGAAGAAATTCATCAGGCTAGTGAAGTAAAACAGTTGATTTAAATGTTCTTAAAACATAGCCAGCAGTTCATGTTTTAAGAACATATATGATTTTCATATAATCATAACATCATCATCATCCTTTCATGGGTTTATAACGAACCTATTCAACAACCTTCTCCCAGTTGGCTTGTTAGCTTAATTGGTAGAGAGCTGGACTGGTATCGCAGTGGTCAAGGGTTTGAATCCTGTACAAGCCTGAATTTTTTTCAGACTTCCTTTTCGCAACTGCAAAATTTGCGTATATAACTGCGATGATCATCCTTCATTTAATGCTAAAGGAAGGGTTACGACACAAAAAATCCTGTGTAGGAGAACTTTATTCCTTATGAATAGCCTGCCTCACAGACATAATCTAACTTCAGTTTACAGTAACATCTGTGAAACAGTGCCAATATCCTTGTTCTGGGCCCCGAATGGACTCAATGAATTAACGGAAATGTTTCAAATTTTCCCTCCACCTGACTGGCAAATCAAAAATCATAGCATTTTTAACAGGCCAATCAAGGTGCATACTCAAATATTGCTACATCGGTGGAAGCCCAGAACAAGGATTTCACTGCTGTTTTGCAGATGGACTTTTCCATATAAGCTTAGTTCCTCAGTCTGTGCAACAGGCTAATTTATAAACTGACCTTGAAAGCAACTGGTGCTTTCTCACTGGCTCTCTTGCTTTCTAAACCCAGCTGTACAAACAGTTCCAACAGACGCACTAGGTAATCCTGCAGCTGAGTCTCTCCCTGCAGATTGGCAGCCACATTGGAATAGGCATTGATAACAGCAAGGCCACAATGCCTGAATAAAAGTAACAATAACTATGTCTTAGAAAACAATGAACTTTATTTCAGTGTCAATGTATTTAGCACAAAAGCAGTGATTGAGGATTACTATTTTTATGTCTCCTACTGGAGATGGGAGGGACTGACATTTTACATGGTCATCCGAGCCACTTGAAGGTCTAGCTGTTTGCAGGGCAAATGCAGAACCTTCATTCCTCAATTATTTTAAGAACTTGAGTATTGGTCTGGCTACAAGGATTCAACCTGTGACCTGTCGCATTAGAGACAAGTGCTTTACTGATTGAGCTAGTCCTTCCACAGAGATATGTAACAAGTCGCAAGTCCTCTTTTGACGTAGAAAGAGTATTGTAACCCAGTTCAACCATTATTCAACATTCTGTTTTATTTTATTTAATTTTTGGTGATTTTCATCTCTGAGCTGAGGTAAATTAGGAAAATAAGCTTACCCAAAGCACAGCATGTTTCAGTTTACTAGCAAGGTACCCTAGCTTTCCAGGAGCTAGCCAAAAATATTATTTAGTCATAACTTTATATCTTCCTTTAAAAAATATAAACAAACTTTGCTTTTTCACCAGGCTTGCTTTCCACTAGCTCAACAAGTTGTTCTGCTAGCCCCAAACTAGCAAAAAGGACTAACTCAAGCGCGTTTCAACCTTCTACCCCCTCGTAAACTGGTCACACATGTTTTGACCATTTGTCATGTGAAACTTATGTAAAGCACAGTATTGGAACAAAAGTGTTTGGACCCTCGATCGTTGTCACCCACACTTCCTAACCTTTGGTTATTATAATTACAAGTCATTCTAATATTTTTTACTTCCAAACCTTTACCTGTAACCTTCTGTTTTATCATTAATGGATGGAGCGGAGTAGGCCATTGAACCTGCATCAATGCTTATTTTCATAAACATATTCATGATCTGTTGATAACACTGCTCCTGAAAATAGACAATGATGGAACAAAATATTTTGGGTCATACAT